CGTGACAATATTTGTTTTTTCAAAACACTATCAAAAACCTAGTGAAAACCTCACGTCAAGTCAAGACCCATCCAAATTATCAGAATATCAAGATGTACTCTATTCTACCTGTTCTATATGTTTTTTCACATGAGAATAGTAAAAGGATTGTTGTATTTCGAAAGATTTCTAGAAACCCTTTCGAAAACCAAAGTAGTTTTTATTGACTTGTATAGCTTTTATTGGGTTACATCATATAATGCAGGTAGAATAGAGTACATCTTGATATTCTGACGTAATTTGGATGGGTCTTGACTTGACGTGAGGTTTTCACTAGGTTTTTGATAGTGTTTTGAAAAACAAATATTGTCACGAGATTTAGCGTGGTTGATTACCGATGTTTCCATTTATTTTCGGTATTGCGACACCTAAAGAAATATTGATTCTGGGACTCTCAGGAAATTCGATGCCACGCCTGAACTGGAAAAAATTAAGGGTTTGCTTAGTTCCCATTTTGCAGAGAATACGTTGGACTATCTATCTATGAAGAAAGATCGACCTATTTCTATGTCAGTTCTCCGAGATCCAAAGCGGTTTTCCAAAGATCTGCTCAAAATCCGGTCTTTGAGTTTTTTCAAAAATCATTGCTACTTGTGTGGGCAGATGCGTACAGGTTTTGGCTATTCAAAACTGAAAATCGCAAGCCTCTATCTTCTTCCGCTCCAGAGTTATTCAAAAAGCAACCGCCTGCCTTGTATTTTGGATAGTAGTAAACAACATGGTGGAAGTGGGATTGAAGTACATTACGTATTTCAGTGTCACACGAACATTAAAGATATCGACAGCGAGCCACTGGCTTTACGCGATAGTGAAACGCTTGAATGGAATCACTCTCACTTCATAATGTTCGATAATGGTGAGATGAAAGTTTATCTGAGTGATTCACAACGATCTCAATTTGTGCAAGCTGCCGTCGACGATCCAAATCACTGTATGTTAGAGTATGCACAGTTTTCACTAATCAACTCGTTTTCATACAGGCTATCCTGTTACCATCATTGTGGAAGGGGGCAAAAACACCCTAGAAGTCATTGTTAACGACATCAGTGCGCAGCGTCCAGTGGTTATCATACAAGTATGAAACAGTCGGTGTAGGCGAACACATTTTCTGAGTAAAACTAAGTTGATCTTATTTTGGACAAATGAAGGGTAGTGGCCAAATGGCAGATGTTTTGGCTACACTAATCGATCTGAGCAACACAGCAAGAAGGTAGATTTCTCAAGCATGATCATATCGCACAATGTCAGAACTGCGAATAATTGCAGAGATGCGACAAGAGAAGAAATCTTTTCTCAGCTCCGCTTGGCGTTCTCCAAAGGTGACAGACGCCACCGCGACGATTTTTCTGACAAAGATATGCAAACAAGTGTGGTACAAATTATTGAGATAATGCAACCAAAAAATCGAAAATTGTTGCATGTATTCAGATTAGATAGGGATAAAGAGGTGGCCGACATCATATTCAAAGCGATCTTCACCGGTATGTGATGCATCTTTCATTTACATGCTAATCACTTTTGTTTCTCAACTCCTTCCAGCTTATAAAGCTAGCAATGACGACGAACCAACAACCAATACAAGACCAAGGTCAAATACTACTTTCAGGTCGGAAGAGAGTCAGTCGGCACTTCTGAAACTAGCCGTTGTGTGGAACTGTCTTGATGGAGCTAAAAAAATAATTGATGGGAAGCGACAACGAGACAAAGACACTCTCGCCAGACAAAGTGTACAGCATGATCAGGCAGACAACGTCGTCATTGTTCAGCCAAATGTAGTCACAAATGTAAGTGATGTGCAGCTCCCATTCCAAAGACGAACATCTGTGAACTCGATGTTTTCTTATTGAGGCTGACTACTATCCTGATTTGTTCGAGCTAGCGCTCAAACAAAAAAAGCCAACATTCGTCGATTATTTTCTTCGGCTTCATGTTGATCCTCGTACGTCGTGTCTCAAAAGTGGAATATTGAAATGGTACAAGTATTCGTTCAAACAATATGATGATGTGAGTGCTGTTCTCACGACGACGAAAATGATCTAAATGTCGAAATCTATTTCAGACTGACTATATGAGCCTCAAAATTATCTTTAACAGTGAACAACCACCGCGCACATTTAAAGAGTTGAACAATGTTTATTTCGAATGGATTGGCTCATTTATGGAAGAACTCTATGTTACTAATACAAAAAAACGCCACAAAACTTTACGACGAGCCGTAAATGATCTATCAGACGCTTGCTCAAGTTTGCGGAAAAAATTCTTCACTTGTCATCCTCATGACACTGTGGATTATACTGAACTCGGCAAGATTCTCAACCACGGTAATGAGCTAACATCGAACCATGAGGAGACCGAGATTAGCGAGTGGATCAATCACCGACAAGAAAAGTACACCGAAGAACAGATGCTGCGAGACTTGTTTCTGTGGGCGTTATTCACAACTGAAATCGAGTTGGCCAAAGTGTTTATGTTACACCTGAAACCTCGATTGTGTGCTGCACTCATTGCAACAAGAATCTATAAACATTTTGCGGAAAAAGCATCGAATGCATTTTCGAAAGAAAAACTGATTGAACAAGCACTGGAATTTGAACTATATGCCACAAGTTGCGTTGAAACATGCTACGCGTACAATGAGAAGTTAACCTGTGAATTACTGATTCGAGAAGTGCCACTGTTTGGCAATGTGACATGTATGCAGGTAGTTGTGGAATACAGATGGACTACCACGAGCGATTGAAAAATGTTCTCTTACTTTAGGTGGCTGTTGCTGCAGAATGTGCCAAGTTTTTTGCCACACCGTGTGTGGATGAGTTATTAAATCAGATTTGGTATGATAAGTTAGCCATGGCAAATGTGAACGTGTCAGCTAAGCCGATTATTCTCGTGAACCTGATTACACTTGGCTTTCTTGCACCATGTTGGGTATCGTACCGCAAGAGAGAAGTGGAAACGCAGTATGTGTCTATTGACGAGGTAAGGATTGAAGAAATGTTTGTCTGCGGTTAGTGATGATTGATCTTTTTCAGAAATTGGATGTGAACAAGAAGACAGATATCGAACCCAAGAGCTACAAACAACAGTGAGAGTCGGACTTCTACAACGCTGTGCAAAATTACAGAAACGATTTGTTTTTAACGTTTTCTACTCAGTCGCAATAACTAGAATAAATCCGAAAAGTGATTTCAATAGCTAAAAGAGTTTTTTAATCAAGTATATGACAGCAATAGCAGATTTCCTGCATTTAAGACAAAGTCTAGAAATCTCCATTTTCCCTTTGAATTATAGAAGAATTTTTTCGGAGCTCCAAGGTCTGAGTCGTTCTAGTGAAGGAATTTCAAGAAGTACATAGATTTCATAGAATTCTAGGAAATGTATAGAATTCTCTGTGACTACTAATTTTTCTTTTGTACTGGAGAATATTTTTGTTATAAAAATTATAATTTCGGAATTGTAGATCAATTCTGCCACAAAATCGGAAACTGTGGCGGAATTTCAAGAGAATGCCACGAGAAATTTCCTACTTTAATAAACTATATTCTTGTGTGTCTGTTAGCGGAGGGAAGTACGTATAGAGCATCAGAGTGAGCCACTAAACCACATTTCAGCTTGTCTGTCGCTTGAACGAACCAAACTAATACCGCAGTCACATAGAATTCTGTACATTTCCTAGAATTGTAGGGAAATATATTACGATGTCTCGATCAGTGGTAAATAGAAATTTGTGAAAATCTACGTAGAATGTCTGAAATGTAGGAACCCTGGCATCACTCGTATATGCAAGTTCCATTAAACTTTGCTGATATGGCATCTCTAGAGAAAACAGAACTCTACGAAAACAAGTCCCTTAGTTAAATCGAAAACCTCTCCACATAACTCAACCGTACAGAGCAAACTTTTCTGAAGAAAATGAGACGTCTTCAAGCTCTTCGTGACATTTTTACGATAAACTGCATTCGTTGTACGAAAGATCCCGAGGCATTTTTTTCTCTTTTCTAGTTGATTTTGCTGATTTTGTGATGCTGCGATCTTTCGCACGATAAATTATCGTAAAAATGTTACGGAGAGCTCGAAGACATCTCATTTTCTCCATAAAAGTTTGGTCTGTACGGTTGAGTTGTGTGAAGAAACTTTCGATTTCGATTAGCTAAGTTTAATGAAACTTGCATATACTTGATTAAAAAACTCTTTCAGCTACTGGAATCACTTTTCGGATTTATTGGGGTTATTGCAACCGAGCAGGAAACGTTAAAAACAAATCGTTTCTTGTGCATGACACAGTATACTTTTGAAAATACGACGACTTAATCTGTGTAGTTTCTCGCCATATGGCATCAATTATTATACGGACAACAAAGTTCTTAGATATGTCAGTCGGTTTCGTTATTTCCACAACAGCCCAATGATTAAAATGTGCTATGATTTTGTAAGCGTTATCGTTAGGATCGCACATTCATAATTACTAGTTTATGTTTCAGGCCACCTATGTCTTTCTGGTGTTGGTATTCAGTTATATGATGCTGTATAAATTTGAGCCACCAGAAAAAATGGGAACTAAATTTCATTGGACGGAGATATATGTGCTAATCACCATAACAGCATTCTTATTTGAAGAATTAAGACAGGTGCGTTGGGATGTGTGGACAAAGTGTCTAAAGACGAATTGACGAATCGCAATTTTTAAGCGTAAAAATGATGCTACAATTCGCATTTTACGCTTATTTTGAGAATTCGCACCGAATTGATGCGAACTGTATCGAATTCGTACGGATACTCCTAAAAACTTTTACGAATTTATCTTACGAATTCGTAAACATCCGAAGAGATCAGACACGATGCTGATCAATTCGCAAATAATTCGTAAAATTAGTTCACGAATTAGTGGTCACTGCTTTTAGAACTGGATTAATTCGTATTACGAACTGATCCAGCGGTTGAAAATGGATACTTCTAATATTAATTTGTCGTTATTCTTACGAATTCGTAAAATACGAATTGATGTCAACTGAAATACAGCGAAACACGTTTGGCTTGTTGTGTAAACACTCACAGCCATCCTCGCAAAATTTCTTGTCCTTGATATCAATTCGCATTTTACGAATTCGTAAAAATAAGGGCGAATTAATATGAGAAGTATTCGAATTGATGTGGAGAGAGGAATCTACCTATTTTTAACCTCATAGAAATGCTTCTTGTCCTTGATGAGCTTCTTGTCCATTTTACGAATTCGTAAAAATAAAGGCGAATTAAGATGAGAACTACGCGAAGCGACTAATCTATCTATTTTTAATCTCATAGAAAAATTCCTAGACAATAAAATCCGAATTTACTACTTCTATTTATGAAATTTGTCAGATACGCTTGACGAACTGATGTCAAGGACAAGACACATGTCTTTAAGATTAAGAAAAGTAAGAATCGTCTCTTCGCATCGATTCGCATAGTTTTTTTTTATTTTACGAATTCGTAAAAATAACGGCGAATTAAGGTGAGAAGTATGCGAGTTTACGAATTCGTAGATGCCAACGCATATCCGACGAATTCGTAAAGTCGCGTTTTTGCCAATTTACGAATTATAGTTCATTGTTTCCTTTTTGTCAACAGTTGGCGTATCATTATCAAAACAGAATACAAGAACGATGGTATCAGTCGGGCTCGTTTTTGTTAGGCGCGTTTACGAAATTCTTCTATGTATCGGTGTTTCTGCTATTCTATTTGGGAATTATATTCAAACACAAATCCAGCAATAATCCACGGCTGTTCACTGTGGCAAGGAAAGTCATACTAGACTGATGCTGTCTTAGATGTTTGTCAATGAGCTGCTCTCTTTTTAGGATTTTATTGGCCTTTGATTTGGAATTATGGTATCTGCAGTCGCTAAAATTCATCATCGTATTGAAATATCTAGGACCAAAACTCTTTATGATGAAAAATATGGTATAAAATCACTTTCTTCTCAGCAGAGCAGTTACACTTTACTCTCACCATTTCAGCTGAGGGATTTATCAGCATTCGTTTATATCATATTCATAACTATCGTTGCTTACGGAGTTGTGTCACGGTCAATGATCAGTTATCGGACCATAACATTTGACATGCGTGGCATATTTAGCAATATCCTCTATCCATCTTATTGGCTTATTTATGGAGATACAGAAAAAGAGTTAGAAAAACTGAATGGTAAGTGATCTCTCACTACATCCAAGCATTAAAAAACTATCTAGTATCGCCCGATTTATCTAGATTACTTGATTTGTACCCGATTGCAATGCTTTGGTGACAATGGAAATCTAGTAATCGAACGATTGCTTGATTTCTCTTCAGCTGCAACGACCGATTTTCCTATTGCTAGTTGCTCATGCAGACACATCTAATTACACATTTTCAACTACCATAGTAAAACTTCTTGTGCCCAAGATCTTGAGCGAATCCACCCAAGATGTTGCACGATCTTAAGTAAACAATTTTCTTTACAGTTTGTTTTCATTTATGACAGCCATAGCCATTAGATATACGACCATATAGAATTATAGGCTCTTTACCCTAGAGAACGTACTTGGGGCCGAGTACTTCGTCTGCGTAATGAAGCCGGTACTTGCCTTTTCCCAAGAAGTAAATTTACTTGTAAGTACTTGCCAAGTGCTTTCAGAAAGTACTTCTTAGCAATAAGGCAGGTATTTGATCATTGACAAATACTTAGCAAGTAATCAAGTACTTGTATTAAGTACGTTCTCTGGGGTGTGTTCAAGAAGGAAAACAAATTCGAAGTTATTCTAAGTGTGAAAATATTCGTATTTATATTTACACAACAGTGTAAAACAAGACGATGATTCAAGAATTTCAGAGGTCTTAGGTACAAGATTCAATCACTCAAGATCTTAATCAAGATCTTGGAACAAAAAAATCAAAAAATTACAAGATATTCAAGATCTTGATATCTTGAAATTTCTTGAATTCTTACATTTTCTTATCAAGATCTTACTGAAAAAATTCAAGAAGTCAAGATCTTGCTTACAAAAAGTCCCACTAGAGTAGTAATCTATATGACAACTAGTGGTACATCGCCCGATTACAGACGAACTGCACCTAGATTTTTTCCATAGATAATTTTTACTTCGGCACCACCGATATGCACAAGTGCCGTGTTGTTGTGCAAAGCATTATGTGTGTGTAGAATCCGAATTATTGTCTAATTACTGTTGTTTAGAGATCATATCTGACAACCACAACAGTAGCACGATTGTAACCGAAGCAGCAGCCACACATGTTTTACTTGCTGTACATAGCTTATTCATTCAAATTCTCTTATTAAATTTACTTATAGCTGTGTTCAAGTGAGTACTGCGAGCTTTTTCGATTCAAAAAGAATGTGTGTGTATGTATGTATATTTTTGAGTTTAGTACTACAATTGTCAAAGTTGAAGAAAACACTGAGTTCTATTGGCGATATCAACGATATTCATTTATTCGAAAATATTTTGAACGACCATTTTTCGCCTATCCACCACTAAATCTCGTTGCATTCGCACTTCGACTAGTTATACTTTTGGTTCTAAAAGTGTGTAGCTGCAGGTGTCTTGCCAAGAAGAATGCGGACATAAAACATACGCGAATGTTTAGTAGGTATGGGCGCTTGTCTCTCGGGCAATTAGCTTTCTTTTCTTGTCTCTTTTAGAAATGATAGCTGTCGATAAGGAAAAAGCGAACGACAAGTGGAATGAGTTCGAGCAGGCGGCGACGTATACTTTTGCCAAGTCTAAAGCAGAAAAAGAAAAACCACCGGAAATATCACCTGGCGATGGTACAGTGATGCGGTTAGCTTTAAACGAATTAAAACTAAAAACAATAACTGTTATACTGAGCTATGTATTTAGAAACGAGCAGGCCGCTGAAGAAATTGTTGACACGAATCAGAGTAATATGAATGAAACACTAAAAGTGATGCAGTTTGAGTTACAGAAACTGAATACAGTATGTTCTTTTTGAAATTCTAAATTTCAATATTCACGAAAGCGTTTAATTTGAAGAGTACAACAACAGCACCCACGCCGAAAGTGACTCCTGATGTATATTCAAATGGGTAAGCAGAATGAGTGTTCCAGTGTGCATTATCAATGGGACTTTCCATTTGAATACATAAGTCGGTTCTACTGTGCGGTGCTCAGTCATAACTTTTTGTATTCATCGTATTAAGACAACAAAGAATCTGTTTCACACGAGATGAAGTTGATGCTTACCAAGAGTGTGAATTCGTGAGGACGTTGACTATGGTTATATGATGCTAAATCCTTCGCTCTTTGTTCTTTCGATCCACTATGACTGTCAAAGTATTAAACTTATTATAGCTCCTGTGTGCCAAGTGAAACATTGAATGATATTCGAGAAAGCATTAGAGCTTTGAACGAAAAAGTTGGAAATTTATTTTCAGAAATTGAAAAATTATCGGAGAAAGTGCAACAGGTGAGTTAACTCATACAGAATAGAGTCACGGCAGAGATGAAGTTGTTCTTTCATTTAGAAAAATGTTGAAACAGAATCAAATGATCGATAGATGGAGAAAATTGGTAGTACTTCGATCAGCGTCTAAAAAGCAAACGAAGTTGAAGAAATAAATATGTTTTCCCGTCATAGACTTCTTTACAACTAAAATTGAACTAAATTTTGAATTAAGTTTTTGTTTGTAATTAGTAAAACGGAGCGAGAGTGATAAAAAAAGACAAGTTTTGCTAAGCAAGAGGTTCTTTTCTTAATTGATTTTTGTATTTTTTAAATGGTTTTTCATAATAAATTAACAATATATAGAATTGGACACCTCGTGTGACAAAAAAGTATGAGCTGAGTTATTAGTTTTTATTGAGTTTCATGTCTGATGTTAAATATACATGTTGTGTGAATGATGAATTTCCATCATGTATTTGAATCAGTGCAATGTGGAGACATCCTACAATGTGCAAATTGCTACGTCGATCTCTTACAATGATTAGAAGCAATGTTCATATTCTTTGGAAGATAACGGCATCTGGCTAGGTCAATGTCTTTCACGTAATTTCTCTTTAACTAAACAATATGTTTTTGAGCTGGAAGCTACTGTATAAGTTAATCTCTGCTGTGAATTGAATATGCACTGATTTTCATTTGAAAAGCTAAAATTAAAACATTAAAAGTTCTCGGAGTAATTCACGAGAGCATTTTAAGAAAATTTTGGAAACATGAAGTATTATTCTCCCAGTAATAAACGTTTTTTCTTTTACCGATAATAAAGCTTTTAAATTTTACCACCGATAATAAGCTCCAATACACCCAGGTATTGGTCGATTTAGGTATTCACAATGCTACGTTGCGAATTTCTTCACGAAATTTTCTTATGAAGAACTCAGCCGTTCTCCCTATGAAGAAAAGGTGCTGAAGAACTAAATTTAAAAACATCTGGGCATATGAGTGTCTTATGTCTGTGCTAAAAATTCTAACTCGAGCGGACAAAGTTTCGATGAGATCAATATGCAATGTAGCCATGTCGAGATTTGAACTAGGAACGTCAAAACAAGAAAATCTGCTTTTTTTATGGCTCTTAGTAAAAATGCCTATAAGCTGGAAGACGTCACATTTTGCAGAAAACTCTGCAGTCTAAAAAACTGGCTTCTTGAAGAAAAAAAAATTGTTTTACACAAAAGAAAAGAAAAAATTGAAAAACTAGAAAATTTAGAAATTAAGAGCTTTTTAACTGAAAGTACCAAATATTAAAAAATTCATATTTTCTCAAAGAAACGTTTCGGGAAGCTAGAAACAATCTCAAATTTTAGAGGACATTTGACTCTATCATACATCATGTTTAGCTCAATAGTCAATTTTTTGTTTGTTTTAGGAGCATTACTCTTAAAATATCATCATGATGTTCAATTCTAATACCATAACACAAAATATATCGGTACCTTGATTTATTCATAGTTTCCAAATATGATTCTAAACAAAAGAACATCACTTATTTACCACGTTATACATGTTGAAATATTAAGAGAGAAACTATACACAATGTAAATAATAATACGAACACAAAACAAACCAGAAAAAAAAGAAAATAGTCACACTGTAAGAGAGACAAAGAATGATCATTATCATCATGAAACAACTTAAAACCACACACACAGGAAATATGAGATCACACACCTAAAAACAGAAGAAAAACAAATGGAAAACAGAACGAGAACAATTACTATACCAGCGTAAAAACAAAAAAGACACACACATTCACAAAAAAAAAAGAGAGATAGAGAGATGAGCATTTGTTTAGAGGAAAGAAGAAGTGTCGTTGTTATTGCACAAAACAAATAACAAACTGTACATCTATTGCATTGTGTATAGCCTGTTTGATAGCTATTTTAGTTTGCATCCATCATTTGTTCTTGATCTATTGACTGTGCGCCGGGAGTTGTGGCACCATTGACAACATTGTTGAACATTGAAGCCAAATCTATAAAAAAATGAAATAGAATGTTAGTATTTTAAAACTCAATTGTACATCCATTTTAACCATTTTTAAGCAAGACAGTACTCTATTTACAGCATTAAGCCTTCCCTCCCCAGATCAGAAATGCCGATTTTTATCAAACATATCGATTATGAGAAAAATACTGGGACTGATAGCCCAAAGTGTCTACTTTCTAATGGCATAATTTTGTGTACCCAGTTAGTCATAGTCATTCTAGAAAAGCGCAGGAAACTCTGTTTACGACAAGTTTTACGCGTTTAGCGAGTTTCGAATAATAAAGCGCAAGAAGCTGCGAGTGTGTAAAAATAAACCGCAGGAAACACACGTTGCCGTGGAAACAAAGGCTTTACACGCGTGTTGCTGCGGTTTATTTTTACACACTCGCAGCTTCTTGCGCTTTATTATTCGAAACTCGCTAAACGCGTAAAACTTTTTGTAAACAGAGTTTCCTGCGCTTTTATGGAATGACTATGACTGACTAGATAGGATAGGTTTTTAGCGAGTTTTTCAGAACCCCTATAACAAAAAAACTGGCGTTTTTGCACTTGCATTGCATAAGCACACGCATGTGCTGCACATATTTATTAGAACCACCAAGACTGATAACCTATAGTAAAGTATCAACAAATTATTTATCACTTAAACAGTTTTTAAGTAAAACGCATTTAACACAATCAAAACTTATTTTGCGTTTTTCCCAAAACTGTTTTTTTAGTTTCAAGGCTTTTGCCACGTGTAGGAATTCTCGGTGACAATACATTGGAGAAAGAAAATTTTTGTTTTTGATTTGTAAATAGCACCTATATCTAGGACTTGACAGCTCGATTTTTAACACTACAACGCCCGTAGGGGTCATTTTGACCGTTTTGTGATTTTTATCCTTAATAAAACAAACTACATACATACAATTTATTTAAAAATAAATTATGTCATAATTTTTAATTTGTCCCATAAAAATTATTTTTTGCAGAATTTTTAATTCATTGTTGAATTCAGAACCATTTTTAAGTATAAAATTTTTAAAAAAAACAGTAACGGTCAAAATGACCAATTTGGGCGTTCTAGGTCATGAAAATTTCCGGGCGTTCTAGTGTTAATTTATGCTTCCATTTTTTATAGAAATGAGTGATTTCTAAGAAATCTTCTAAGGATTTTTCGGATTTTAAAGTTCTATTAAGCACCAGAAATCAGTAAATGAAAAATTCCAAAATCGGGCTCTGTCAACTCCTAGGCAAAGATGTTTACTGCAAAACGAAAAAAGTCCGAGCTCTCTATCATTTAACTGGAATGAGAATCCTTGCACGTCATAGATGCTCACTTTTAGCGCGTGTTGTGATGCCCTCTCACGAATAGTTGCAAGTGGCGCCAAAAAAAATATTTCGTTACCACACTTTGACATGGTCAACATTCCTTGAAAGTCTGATTTAGATTAGACGTACCTGGGCTGAGATAGGTGGCTGACGCGGGGAAGGGAGGCTTACCATGTGAACTGTCTTAATTAAAAGTACTCTCTTCTCTTTTTTCACTCAATGATAGAACTAAAGGTGCAATCGCGTTCAAATTCATATCAGAGACAGAACATCAGAAAAGAAAATCAGCGTATTTTTGCACAGAATTTTCTAATATGTTCTTCCATGGGTTGTTTTTGAGAGATCCCGGTTTTCATCCAGTCATATTACGAAAAAATGATCCGATGGAGCTCAGACTTGTATCACAAATACTACAGACTCTATCTTAGGTTTGATGTTTTTCGATAAATCCGAAATGATGAAAATCTTCGATGAAACTTTTTTCATACGATTTATCGAAAAAAAATCAAAACATAAGATAGAGTCTGTAGTATTTATGATACAAGTCTGAGCTCCATCGGATCATTTTTTCGTAATATGACTGGATGAAAACCGGGATCTCTCAAAAACAACCCATGGAAGAACATATTAGAAAATTCTGTGCAAAAATACGTTGATTTTCTTTTCTGATGTTCTGTCTCTGATATGAGTTTGAACGCGATCACAACATTGCTTCAATCCATGAGTGAAAAAAGAGAGGGAAGAGTACGCTTAATGATACATACAAGATTGTTGTAATTGCGCTTGTTGAGGAATCGTCTGTTGTGGTTGATACTTGGAAATTTCAGCTAATTCATATTGAATAACTTCATGAAATATCAACTCTTTCCATTGATCAACTGTATGTTCCCGTTCATCAACCGAATGATTATATTGACCAGGTGCAGGCTAAAAAAAGAGCGTAAGACTTGTTATAAGACGTAAGAAGAGAATGCTAATACCTACCGCATTCACTTCAGAATCTTCATACCAAACGTTTATGTAAGGATGATTAATAGCATTATCAACAGATATACGCTTTTCAGGATCAATAACCAACATTTTTGATAATAGATCACGGGCTAACGCAGCTAAAAAGAAAACAGAATATATTCACTATGTCTATTCGTAGAAAACCCAACAGCATGAAGTTCAATCAGAAAACTATATATTAGAGCTAAGAGCATTTAGCAACAGAAATCCTACCACGAACCAAATTCTTGTTCAGTATAACAACGTTGGGTAGGCACATCGTCTATAGATACGTTTATTCTGTTCAGAAGATGAGTTCTGTATGCAAACGAAACATATACCTGTTAACTTAGATTGTTCACTATCAGGTGGAAATAATGTATCGGGAAATAGACGATCAATTTGATAGCCTTGATGACGTGGCCGATTTTCAACATAATTTCTCACAGTTGGTTGTAAACGCATCATAAAATCTTTCGTGGGCGTTCCTAATTGTTCAATAATTTTATTCCATTGATCAATATCTGATTGAGAAATTTAGTTAAAGAAAAAGACAAATTTAAAGTAGACACAATCAGAGTTTTCGTTACAAATTTTTCGAGAGAGGAGAAGTTTATGGGCTTACTCTGAAATATGAAATTTGCAAGATTGTTTACTCCGAATTCCACTTATTCCAAAATCACTTATTCCGACATTACCTACTCCGAAATCACTTACTCGGAGACCACTTATTCCGAGTTTCAAACGGGGGGAGAAATTCGTCCTCATCCCTCTAATCAAAAACTCTAGACACTATTAGACTAAAAAATAAAAGGATACGATCTGAGCCAGGAAATATTACTTGGCCACGTATCATTTCACCAAAAATACACCCGACTGACCATATGTCAACTAAAAGACATTAACAAAAGCAAGAAGTAAATATTAGTCTCATTTTTCTAATCAACCTACCATTATTTTGATATCCCATTCCAAGAATAACCTTAAATGAAGAATAATCACTGAATAGTATAATATTATTTAACTTGTTCAAACATACATACTTCAGGCGCTCGATAATATCGTGTCACAACCTATTTACCAAATAAAAATGAATGTTAAGTTTGAATATAACTAATGCATATATACTTACATAAGGTGTCATCATAAACGATGTACCAGCTGTTCTTGCCAAGCCAAAATCTAATATTTTCAATGTACAATCTGACCGAACAACAATATTTGATGGTTTTAAATCTCTATGAATAATTCCAGCTGTATGTAAATGTTTGATTCCGCACAACATTTGATAAAGCAAATAGGACATTCTCTCATGATCTAAATCCATTTGTATCACTTGACACAAATTAGCGTCCATAATTTCCATTATCAAATAACTATAAAAAAAACAAATTTTTGAAAACAAGCTCTTTAATCTTAAATTGTCAAGATAAAACTTACACATCAGCAAATTCGTCTAATGTTCGTTGTGGCGTAAATGCATTCAATAAAGATATGATCTAAATTAATAACAAATATGATTTTCCTACAAGAAATATCAGTAACTATGACGATACAATCAATTCTTTTTCTGACGAGGGAGCATCTTCAGGCGATAACCTCCAATTTCACGAATCTTTTGCCGATAGAAAGAGGTTAGTGTTCTAGTAAAAAGGCTAAGGAGGATTTCTGACCATATTGCTTCTCTCAAAAGTTATGGAATTTTTTTCTTTACCACCACCATACATCATACAAAACTAAAAATTCATAACTTTGCAACAATAGCGAATTAAGATCTGAAACTTTTTGCTATATCGTTTGTCAATAATTCAGAAAGTTTCAGACTTTCCTTTCGCGGGTTATCAACTTTTTACTAGCTTAAGGAAAAGCATGTCATGTAATGTTTCCTAAAAATGTTTTTCGATGAGAAAACTAGCACTGTATTCGAGAGCCAGCTGGGAAAAAGTACATAGTTGATCGATCACCATGAGGTTATCCACTACTTTCCACTGTGCAAATATATCGCACTATAAAATGGCAGCATTTTTGTTTTATATTTTTGCCAATCGACTTGATCATGTAACTCTGCTACCGCAGTGTAATTCCGTCACGATATTTTTGCACTTTATTTCTTCTATAAATCTCGAATGAAGATACATTCAGAGCTCTACAACGTCTCATGTTAAAGAGAAAATTGTACTAAATATTCTGAGACTCTGGCACACTCCACATCTTCTTTTGTTTTGAAAATACAGCAAAAATGCAAGCTGCTACCTTTCAAAACTTATCTGAAAAAGTAGTAGTTCATATTTTTATCATATTAAATTTCATAACTGTAGAAAGATACAATATGGTCAGAAATTCTTTTTTAGCCTTTTTACTAGGGCACTAGCCTCTATCTATCGGCAAAAGATCATTGTAATCGGAGGTTCTCACCTGACGATACTCCCTCATAGGCTGTTCAATGTATACGTACATTTTTATGATTCACTAATTTCATAATACAAAATTCTCGAAATGCTCGTTTGGCATGTGTGACATTTTGAAATGGACGACTCAATTTTTTAATGGCCACATTTTGAGCTAGAACTTGATCATAAGCAGCACTAAAAGTAGATCAAACATAAATACGTTATTAAACATTTCAGAGAAGAGATTAATACAACTAACCAAACAAATCCTTGTGCGCCCGAACCAATCGGTCTCAAGTTTTGATAACGTTTTAATATTGTAAAAGTTGTATCACCAACTTCAACCGTGTAAAATTCCGATGATGTTTTTCCACCCACATGAACACCACCGGCAAGAATGTTTTGAGATGCTGGAAGAGGTGATAATGGTTGCTGTTGTTGTTGCTGCGGCGGCTGCTGCATTATGATTGTTAGTGAATTAAACTAAATAGATCTAAGAAGACAATGAAATATAATAAGAGTAGAAGAGACAAAAAAAAAATAATAGCCTTTTTCTACTAATCGACAAAATGATTTAAGTCTCTATTATTTTCTCTTTTGCTAATATTTTACTAAATTAAATAGACCAACATTTTTACGCTCCCACTTAACCAACAAAACACTTCACCTAAGATTTGATAAGAAACAACAAACTTTTACTTACTTTTCAACCTTTAGATACTTCCTCCAGCTACTCATCTGTTTAAAAACATGATATATCAGTTTTACAATCTCATTATTTAAAAGAAACATCCGTTTCTGATAATTATCAATATAATAAGAAATTTACCGAGTTTTAATCTCTACTACATAATCTCTCTTTAGAGTTGTGTAAACGCAACACTTTTCTCCATACTAAAAAGAAGCTGGAACAAATACACAAGTCAAGATAGATTTCTATCATTGTGAAACGATCTACTAACGTCTTATCAACAATCTACACGTCCAATTCTTTTTCTAAAAAAAAAAAAAAAAAGAAAAAAAAAAACTTACGTTGTTCTATTTGACATTATAATAATAATACTAAAGATATTTCAATTTGTGTATGTTTTTAATACTATAATCATATGTTCTCTTTTCTTTTCTCTCGTTCTGAAAAAAATAAAATAAAATAATATATATAAACGACCATATTACTTTGCTTGCTCTTTCCCTCTCTACTACATACTCTTTCTCTTCTTCAATCATCAAATAAACAGTAAATAAAAAAAAAAAAAAAAAAATATATAATAGAACTCAAAATGTCCACAACAACATCATCTAGAATAGAAACAAAAAAAAGAAAGAAAAAAAAACTACATTATTCTCTTCTTGCTTCTTCTTCGTTTTTTTTTCCGGTCTATACAGTGAACATTAGACGGAATCACTTTCTTTTCTCGTTCTATGACAGCTACCGTATCGTACTCCAAATGACATTGAGAGATTTTCTCTATTCTTATATTCTTCTCTTCTCGTTTCTTATCATAACAAAGATCGTTGTTACAAATGCTTGCTGATTCATCATCATTTTCCTTTTATTATTTTTTTTTTTTACTGTTTTTCTCTCGTTTGATAGATGCGATCAATATCTTCGTGATACTGCTAACTAAATACTTGTGCTCAATACAGAATGAAAGAGGAAAAAAAAGCTAATTATTTTTTTTTCTATAGACTACAACTATCCAGATGCCACACAAAAATTCTTTGGCAATGTTAGAACAAGATGAAGAACTATCTAACACATGATATATTTAGTTAATCTTCAATAAATTCACATGAAACACATAAAACTAATCATAATGTGTTGTTTATTAGTCATTTTGAGTATGGAAAATAAACAAACAAATCATATTTTAAAACAATTTATTATTTGAGAAAGTGTTGTGCTTTTTTATTCTAAAAATGAAAGTGTGACAGTATTCACTATCGTAAAAATTGAATTAAAATATACATTGAAACAATTTTTCTACATTAATATTCATTATTTTCTTAAATAAATCCATCTCTTTTTTTCTTCTTTACACACTCTTCATTCTTTTCATTCCGACTGATATATAAATAGAACAACATTTTCATCTCATATAAATAACTAACAAAATCAATCGTAATTATTGTACAATGTTTTTTCATCCTGATGAAGAGATCTATATCATTTCAAAATGAAAATTTCACATCATCTTGATAGAACCATTCGAATAGAATTATTTTTCATTTGAGGAAAAGAACAACATACACATGATGAAATTCACACACAGAACTACAGTAAATACTGTGGTTGTATAGAAGTGCGGCCTGTCCACGTAACGCGTGATTCCATCACGATTTTTGTTGTTTTGCGAGTCTCTTGGCGTTCGAACAAAAGGAAACTAAGGAATTATTTACATCTAGTCTTATAGAGAAAAATGAGCTGAACAAAATGTGATATTTTTCGTTTTCGCAGAATATCGTGATCATCAAGTACAACAAAATTTTTACGAGCCCCAATCTAAAGTTTGCCAAAACGGGGCTCGTAAAACTTGTTATATTTGAGAACCACGACACTCTGCGGAAACAGAAAATATCACATTTTGTTCAGCTTCACTTTTCTCTACAAGACTAGATGTAAACGGTCCTTGAGTTTCCTTTTGTTTGAGTGTCAAGAGGCTCGCAAAACAACAAAAATCGTGACAGAATCACGAAAAGGCGACCGTTACGTGGACAGGCCGAGTGTTAATTTTGATATTCATAAGTGACTATGTACAGTAGTCAAAAAAACTGTACGAAATATTTTAATAATACAACAGCATTAGAATAAACAAAATGTTTGTCGTTTTAAAACGATGTAAAATGACAATTGAAAGAGAGAGAAATCAAATAAATATAAATCCAACTATTCAAATAGAAGTAGTTGAGTAGAATCTACTCGTGAGATTGGATGAAAAAAGTTTATTAAAAAAATTTCTCGACATAATCTACGAACAGAATTTCTTTTTGCAAAAAAAGAAATTCCATTTTTACAAAAAAATTTCCCCAATCAAATAACTTTTCCCCTGACAATCGTCAAAACAAACAGGCAGATTCTGCAGCACACTGATCTTAACATAGATCGTCATCATTTCTAGCAATAACGACATATTATCTAACACGGTTTTCTGTAGTTAACAAATGATATTTTAGATTTTAATAGAGAAAATTTACATTGATTTAAATACATACTCCTCCAGTATAGAAAAATCTACTTTACATTAAATCTAGAATAATGTTCTAAATAAAAAACAACATCAATGATCGCGTTATTTGCATACGATTGTTATTATCCGATGTAACTTTGAGTGATAATTACAAATATGTCATTGATTCTGTTATAGATGAAAAAAAAGTAAGTAAAGAAAAATACAGTTTTATACAAAATCAGTCAATTATTAAACATTATTCTTTCTAAATATTGACAGAAAAATCACTTTTATTTTTCAAATGATTTGGAGTATTTTTTTAAGATTAAGATAGAATGAATGTTTTCTGTTCACATATCACAATGTTGCTCGCGAAATACTAATAAAAAAAATTATATTTTAGTAAAAACCGATTTATTTTTTATCAAAAATTTTATAAATAATTTCTAGATATCATCTTTTATAGAATATTACACGTTATATACTATGAAAAATGTTGATTTTTCAAAAATAAAAGTCGGAACTCTAACGGGGTATTTTTTCGACTAAAAATTTTCTTCAAAACTAATTTATTTTAATTTACAGTCATTTTTAAGATACCGATCGAGAATTATATTCTTTATAAAATGAAATAAAAAACAAAATTATTATTTATTGTCCGAGTATACATTAAAATGCGTCTGACGAAATGAAATTGAACTTTTTGAAAAAATCAAGTGGTTTGAAGAAAAAAAGTTCGAGAGTTTGAATGTGTCTTTTCCTGATAATATAATTATTAGGATACTGTAATAGAATTACACCCATTTGTATTATGGAAAAGTAAATATGGAATTTTAACAAAATGTTTTTATGATAAAAGATAATATAACACAACTTTTATGTTTATTTAAGTTCCACAAAACTACTAGACTATTTTGTACATAATTTTCGAAATAAACATTAGGAAAAACAAATTCTATGTTGGACGTATCGAAAACAGAGAAGAAATTTTATTCTGTTTAGCCTTAATTATTTTATTAACGAGTGCGGTATAAATAATGATATCGCTAGGATTTCGTCAATATCTCGGTGAGTTTTCATTGTAAAGACTTGAGCGTAGTCTCAAAACATTTTCCATTTAATTTTCTACAAAAATCCGAAGAAAAGAGCACGTACAATAAATAACCATGAATTCATAGGCTGTCAACACTGCTATGTCTCAAATGGAAGTATTTTGCAATCAATATTACGTTTTGTTTTTATTTTTTCGCCGCACTTTCAGCGCATAGAGAAAGACTGAATATGCCATTTTGTAGTGCCTGCAATGGTCTATCAGTTGAGAAACAAGTTTTTTATTTTAAGTCCTTGTGATCGAGACCTTTTTCCTTTTATTTCATATTCGGTTTTCTACGCCCTGCTAATGGGGCTCATCATAAATTGAGTACAGTTAGGACAAACTGTAACGTTTTCTTGCCAATTTTGTTTTGCAAAGGTGCAGAAAAATGTTTTTTCTATCCATGTCTCACCAATCCAATTGGCGTACAAGTCTTCTTTTGGCGCCCAGAGTGCGTGAGAGGAAAATGCTACCTAGTTCCAACTCATTTTTCAAGAAAATCTGCCATAAGAAACTCACTGTGTTGTCTAAGAGAGTCGTTTTGAGTGCTGTGAGAAAGAGGATGTCTGAAAACATGGAAAAATCCACATTAGAGTGCGTTCGCGTCTGATTAGACAGAACCAGAGACATAATTAATCTTCTGGAAATGTGCGCTGCAAAGTACTTCCGTTTGGGACAACTATGTGACAGCCTATGAATTCATGGTTATTTATTGTGCGTGCTCTTTTCTTAGGGTTTTTGTAGAGAATTAAATGGAAAATGTTTTGAGACTACGCTCAAGTATCTACAATGAAAACTCACCGAGATATTGACGAAATACTGGCGGTATCATTATTTATGCCCCACCCGTTACTTCTTAACTTAAAATGCAAAATCTTAAATGCAGAAAAAGAGCTTTTACTTGACCGGCATTTTCGTACTTATTACAATAAAAACGAAATCATATTTCGCTACTTCAGATTTGTCGAATCATGATTTATTCTTCTGTAAGTTTAATGTAAAATAATTTTTCATTTTCAAGGTTGTTTCCTACTAGCCGTCAATAATGTAATATTCGCCTGTTCATACCGTCATATTCTCATTTTTCCTATTTTTAGAAGCTAGCCGTTGTTCAAAATTCCTGCTGCTATTTTTGACAGCTAGCGGAAAACAACGTTGTTTCTTTTTAGCTCCACATAGTAGCTAGGATCAATGCGAATTGACGTAGATAGTCTCTCCTTGGGGCTAAAAGGAAACAACTCATTTTCACGTTGAAAGAAGTTGCCTGCCAATAACATCTGTCAAAAAAATGGACGCTGATTTTTAAAGAAGAGCAAAAAATGTAATTCGTACTGAAATAAACTGATCAATCAATTTCTTCGACCAGACGCTGCCTATATTATGCCTGGTCTAGTCCTTTTGTTTTTCAACTTTATTCTTCTTATTTCCTCACAAAATCTATTTTTATTAATATAATAGACTTGATTGACGCTTGGATTACAAGATGGTTCATTACTAGAAACAAGCACCTAAACTTGAGAAATTTTCATTATTTAGTCGGCCATATTTGACCTCCACACATTTTTTCTTGTGGCAGCTAGCTTTCAACAAGAACTACTGAAGTTACCTGCTATTGGCAACTAATCGTCATTGAACTGCTATCTTAAGAGAAGTGAAGTGATAATTTGCAAAGATTTTTACCAATCAGATTGTGATCCATGCCTTTCTGTGCGAAGATTTTTTTTCTATTTTTTCTTTTTTGATTAAATCAAATTTTTTGATAAAAAATAATTTATCTTATTACTGTAGAAAAAAATAAAATATATACCTTGTAAATAGAGGAAATCCGTTAAAAAAAGTTAAAGATCACAATATGGCTTTAATAGTTTTATTTATTTTCTCTCGCAAGGGACATGATATCATTTCATTCCAATTGAAAGCTGTAGCATATAGGATAGAACCGTAATCAATCGATTAGTCAAGAATGATAGGAGCAAAGTTCATTGCTCTATGGGTAAAACCGTGGAAATTTTTACGATTATTGTTTTATATATAGTATTTAATAAAATACCTGTTAATATATCTTCGCATATCTGATCTAAAACTGGAAAAGAAATTTTTCAAAAATATTTATAATTCTAATATGTTTAGCTCTTGCTTTTCCATTACACCTTCCATAAATAAAAATATAGCGATTTTCGCGTATATCTGCGTACGAAAAAAAAACTTTTTATTGTCAAGATATATTGCCATGTTAATCAAAATAACAGAACACTAATCGATTTACATGACTTTTCATCGACTCCGTTACATCACACTACACATCAGATGTTTTTGTCATTTTAGATTTTAATTTTTTTAATTTTTTTTACTTCTATCAAAATGCCCCGTAATGGAAAAAAGTCAAAGATAACAACAACCGTCAAATCACAGCCAACAATATCGTCACCATCACCGACAAATGATGAGACACTCACTCATTCCGAACAAGTTGTTCCCACATCAACAAAATCTAAAACTCGAGTAAAATCATCAAAATCAAATATTCAATTAGTGAGTACTCCTGATGTAGCAGACATTCAATCAACAACAGAAACAGCATTGAAAGAACCAGTTGACGTCTCTCCTCTTCAACAATCACATCGTGATCCCTTTACATTTGATGAATTAGCTCAATATATTTTACAGTACTACATTCAATCAGATCCAAAAAATGAAATATTTTTGGATAAAATCGATAATCTAACGTTGGCCAATCTTCCCAAACAAATTTTAGGTAGATAGAAGAAAGTTTCATGAAAAAAGACTTATATATTTAAAACTGGAAATGATTATTATCTATTACATTTAGGTGCTAAACCAAATGCGGAAGCATTTCGTTATGGATATCTACATTTTGTACGTTATGATATTCGAATAACATCAAAAACTGATCATCATGAAACATTGATCGAAGAGTTTTTTAATAAACATCTATTACGTACTGTACCAGCAGAAACTGTAGATACTACAAATTCTAGATTATCCGAACATGAAATGAATGCCATTTATTGGCGTGTAAAATTGCGATATTCATCTTTAATATTAGCAACCATGTATTTGGATTTATTACAATATTATTTAAAGAAAAAGATTGATGGTAAATATTTCACCTTGGAATACTATTCTCCGAATAGTAGAACTTCTTTACAAGTATGACTAAAGTTTTTTCTCTTTTATTGATTTGTTATTAAGGTCTTAATACCACATCCGAAGCATCTAGTTTAAATGTTCGTAATTCAACTTATTGTTTATCATTGAATCCAAAAGATTACACATTGGGTGCTATCCATTATTATCCACATACATTCCATTATGTAAATCCATTTATTCAAGATGCTGATCATAATAAACAAGCAAAAAATGTGAAAGTTGAACCGGTTGAATTGTTAGAAAAAGATGGTTTGACAAGTATTCACTACATATTACAAACAAAAGATTTGAATAGTGAAGAACAACTAATTGTTGATATTTGTTCTGGTGAATTGAATCTGAATACGAATGGTAAAATATTTGTGATTGAACCAATCTCAGACTATATGCTTAAATATCAAACAATGTTAGGTATTATTTTAACTGTTAGAAAATAAATTATTACTATTGTGTCGTTGTTGATTTTAGGTGAAATAACAGAATATGTAAAAGTTTCACGTAAAAATGTTCAACATGAACGTTTATCACATAGTCAACGTATCAAATCAACATTTGACTCAATAATATACTCAATTTTAAATCGTCAACAATTATTGAATGATATATGTACACGATGTGGTGCTCATCACGCACTAATCAAACCTAGTCAATGTGTTTGCGAAAATAGTAACTGTGATAACTATTTAGAAGTAAAATATTGTTCAACAATATGCCAAAAATTGGATTTAAACAATTCCTGTCGAACACTCTCATCAAAAACAGTAACAAAAGAGACAATTAGTGAACCGTTAACATTGACAAAACTACTTACACATGGAAAAGATAATGAAGATTTGAAAGGTACAAGAAACGTTTTTTTCGCTAAAGAGGGAATCACCCGAGGTTATAAATCGATTTCGGATTGGGACTATTTTTGTTAGAAAGGCCCTAACGAGTAGTGAAATACCCCAACTTGGTTCATCCCCATGGTGCTTCGTTGCTGAGATACTGGATTTTTAGTCAGTTTTTTCCTATAGATCTTGGATTTCGAGCAAAATCCGACTTTCGAATTTTGATTTCAAACTTGCCACACTTGTAGCTCATGGTCATAGTAGTACGACGGACAAATATTCGGTGCTAATGAATTTTCCTGCCTTGATATATTGAGACTCGAATATTTGACCCTCACCCTTTTCTTCTGGTGAAATATTCGAGTCTCAATATCTCAAGGAGTATGGCAAGTTTGAAATCAAAATTCGAAAGTCGGATTTTGCTCGAAACCCAAGATCTATAGGAAAAAACTGACTAAAAATCCAGTATCTCGGCAACAAAGCACCACGGGATGAACCAAGTTGGGGTATTTCACTACTCGCTAGAGCCTTTCTAACAAAAATAGTTCCAACCCGAAATCGATTTATAACCTCGGGTGGTTCCCTCGTAAGATAAACTAAATGTGAGGAACAGAGGGGACTGAAGAGTTTTATGGTATTTTTGAAATAATTTGATTTCAAACAAACAAAAAAGAGTTGTGGATTTAAGTAGTGCGATATTTTTCTCATTATCTTCGATCGCCAGTCGTACGTAGTCAAGTAAGTACTGTTATGGTAATAAAATATTTCTGTTCTTATCCTACAAACTTGACCTTGAGTTTATTATCAACGTTTAATCGACTAAGATGTTTTCTATTCGATTAGTCACAGTAAATGTTTATGTTCACTTTTGTTTTCATTCATAGACGAAATAACACAAGATAAAAACGATGCTAAACATGCAATAACCACTGATAGTAATGAAATACAACCAAAAGATGGTAATGTTAAACAATTATTGATTAATGATGTTAGTAATAATCAGTCTCAAAATGAGACTGAAATAGACACAAATAAAAATGAGAAAAAGAAAAAACGACGAAAACGAAAAAAAACAACGACTACAGTACACAATGATTCAACAATGACAATAATGAATTCTGATGGTGAATCAACGATTGTAGAAACTAGTCAAACAGACGAGAAAAATGAAGAAAAACAATTAAGAAATAATGATAAACAAGTTGGAAAATATGAGAACGATTTGCAAGATATACACCGAAAAGGTAAGCAGAGATATAATTGAAGTTAAGAAAAGATCCAGTTGTATCTGTACTCTATTGATAAATAATCGTTTTGTAGTCAATAGACTATTAAAAAGTGAATTTCTGTTTCAAGTCACTTAAATAAATATGTATGCGAGCGATAGAGCGACACACTTTTAAACTTAACGATTTCTCAAGAGTAATTATGATTATATTTAAAACTCTTGATCTTCTTTCTTTTTCTTTCTTCTTTTCAAGATGAAATACAAGGGAGTGAACAAGAAACATGCAATGATGTTCATCAGCAAGAAGAAAAATTAACACCACTGTGTATTGATGATCAGAATGAAAAAAAGGATAGTATTAATGGTAAACAGGAAGAAAAAACAGAAATCGTGCTAGTCTAGGTGCAACATAGTTTATTTTATTTACTTATTTATTTTATTGTTTTAATCAAGATAAAAGTCAGATCTCGACAGTGATAATTCTTAGATAATCATTTTTTTTTTTGTATAGTCTTTCCCTATCTAGTTAAAAACTTATTTAAAACCCGATTATTTTATGCGATTATTCCATTTTTAAAATGATTTCTCATATTTATATTGTGATCTTTTATTTTATTAGTGTTAAACACATCTTTTTCGAATCATGTGGAAGATGAAACGAGAAGTATTTGGGTGAAATTTATTTATTTGTTGAAAAAAATATATAAAATAAAAGAGAGAATGAAAAGATTTTGCTATGTTTATTTAGTAAATTGATAAGAGTCAGTCGATAGTGTTGGTTTTTGATGCTTTCTTAAATCCCTTTTTTTTCCTCGCAAAAAAGTGATTTTAAAATGCCTGACTCTCATGTTGTTTATCAATCTTTTTTATCGGAGTATTATACTGGTAAAGTACAAATGATAAAGAATGATTTTGTTTATGTTTTCTTGATAGTAGTAGAACATATTAACGGAGAGATGTGGAGTTGATCAATGTCGAAGCGCTTTCAGAAGAAATATAGAATCGAAAGAGTTTTTTCGTTAAAAAGACTGTTGTATTTTGTCAAAAACAGAATTTCAAACTGTTTCTTAAGACTTGATCAGGGGCCAGTTTCTTAAAAAGACTTGAGTAAAAAAAAGTAAAAAATTGGTCTTAAGTCACCTTTCCTTCTCACTTAAGTTTTCACCTAAGCTTTTAAGTAGAAAATTGTTTAAATTTTGTAACTTTCTTTGAAGTCCGTAACCCATTCAACCCGCTGTAATTAGACTAAACATAATTTTTCAGAGATTTTTCGCAGAAAATTGATGTAAAACAATCTAAGTTGTCTATAATACGAATAGCTGTTACTGCATGACCTCTGCCTCACCTAAGTTATTTTAAGAAATGCACATAAGTCAAAACTTAAGGTTGACTTATGTTGAGAACTTAACTTTTTTGTTAGAAATGCATTCCGGAGCGGAGCTGAAATTGAGCCGGTACCAGGTCGATAGAGACCGGTTGAAACTTTTGAAAAATCTGCTTCTTTTACCCTATTTTTCGTCAAAAAACTAAAAATTTCACGTCATTTTCAGTCAGAATAAATGAAATGATGCTCAAGACAAATATTATTTCCATCACTTGTTTAAAGGTTAAATATTATCGACTCGTTATTGTGAAGGTTCTCTCACATGTGCTTGTAAACTACTTCATTTCTGGGGGAAATTCTTTCTAAAAATCGATTTTCAAAAAATTTCGCCAGTTTTTTGCCAGTATTTTACCAATTTGAGTTATAATTTCAACCGGTCGGATCGATCCGGGTTACCGTTTCTCAACCGGATTCAGCCCTTTACCTTAGAGTGATAAACACATTAAATATTTCTACTTTATTATTTTTAACGTTCTAGTAAGGATGTCAGAACAAAGACGAGTAAAAAGTAGTTTAATCAATAGTTATTCTAAAAGTAAATAGATTGAATAATTGATAATATAGTAATTCTTGTTTAAATGTTAGACTACATCATAATCAAACGATAACCAAAAAAACAAATCGAACATTTGTTGCGATTAGTTTGAAAGATATATATATATATTTTTTTTTCTTGCATTCAAATCTCCATTGTTGTTGTTGTTGTTATTTTTAACTTTTCCTTTCTTTATTTACAAAAAATTCTTGAAAAAGCAGCGTGTCTTGAAAGACTTAGGTAAAATGAGTCTTCTATGAGCTACTGACATGTTTGTTTGAGGTCAAATACGGACATTTGTTAGACATACGTAGAACATTTGGTTTTAATTTTTTTTATTTTTATTTTTATTTCATCATTCTACTTAGTCCCTCTATCAAAAAAAATAAAAAAAAAGAAAGAAAGAAAACACAATAGAACGTAATTAACATTCCAATCTCTATGTGCAATCGGGCATATATTAATATGATTAAGTTTCAAAAGAGTGTAAAACAGAAAGATTTTTTTTTTTTTTTTCTTCTCTTTTTCATATTCTAACTTATTTCTTCTTTTCTTCTGTACTATGTATGTAACAATTACGTCTATGTTCAGATACGTTTTGCGCACATCTACCAAACAAAATACAAGTAAACTTACTTTTCGTTTAGGTATACTCTTTCTCTCTTTCTCAATTTTTTTTTTTTTTTTTTATCGATGAAAAATCCGAACGAGCGGAAATTATTGACAGCAGCTGATTGCTCGTAATAGAGAGAGAGACTGACATTAAACACATGGAAATCAACACTTAACGTTTATATATATATATATGAATATATAGTTGCACACAACATAGAGAAGAAGAAAAAGAGAGAAGAAAATTTCTTTTCCGTCAGAATATGATGTTGTTTATATTACATTTTTATACGTGCGTAGATATATAGTTTGTTCAACAGAAGAAGTAGGGGGAAAGTTATAATAATAATAATAATTGAAGTAGTGCGTGGCTCTCTATTCCGGATGATAAGTTCATTTTTGTATTCTCTCTTTTCTCATTAACGTAAAAATCAAAGTCTTGATATAAAAAATTTTTATATATTTTTATAAATCAATATATGACTTAAAAATATATATTATGTATAAGAAAATCTTGATCTTAGACTGTCTAATGTAAAGTTATGGAAATTCGTTGTTTAAATTTGACTTAAATCTAGAAGACCCAATATCAATAAAAATATGAAAGTATGAAGAAAATCGTGCAAAGCAACAAAAAAAAAGCATAACGATATTTTGAAATGGAAATGATTTGTTGGTAACAATTTGGTTAATGTCTTTTAACAAAATCTTAAATTAAAAAGATGTACCACCTACTGATTTCTTGAACAATCGTATGAAAAAAGAAAACTTATTTTTTTTTTTTTTATATTAAAAAGAGAATCACGCTACGCTAGTAACTTGTCAATGACATAAGAAAGGCAACTAGCAGTTAGTTAATCAGTAGAACGAATTTTCATTTATTTTTATTTTATTTGAGCTAGAGTAGAGTAAAAGATTGCTGATTCTACATTTATTCTGATAAGATAGGATAAATTCTTAGATTTTTTACGTTTTTTATAAGAACAAAATATCTGTGTGTGACATGGTATATTGTTGAATGAAAAATTATCTTACCATTCTTATTTATTGTCTAATTTTAGATATGTAGTCGGAGATACATTGTTATTGTCTCTATTTATTTTTTGTTGTATTTTTTTTTGTTGTTGTTGCTAACAAGCAAACAAACAAACAAACAAAATTGTTTTCAACTTTAATTTCGATTTAATATTGGAATATTCAATTATTTTATTTTATTATCTCTTATATTATCTTTTTCATAAATCAAAATTAAACAACCTTGATTGTGTTGCCGTCATCAACACCTGTATTTAGGTAAGATTGACTGCTAATGAGTAACCTCGAATAAACGAATCGATATTTATATTCAATTTGTTTCGTAAATGAAATAATGTAAAAAGGCTCCATAGGCTCAAAGAATGTATAATTTCAAGGTTTAACAACAAAAATCCTTTATATCCGTTATGCACATAATGTTTCATTATTTAAAAAAAAAGAATTCATATTTAAGGGTAACAATTAAGACATGAATAATAAATAGTGTTGTTGATTTTTGTGCCCAATCTAATCGACTGATAATTGTATTTATCTGCTATTTAAATCATCTACTTTAGATAGAAAAATTCAACTTCATTTTTATTGTTGATGATTTGACAAGTCAAATTTTTGTTTCAATATAGAAAATTTTTTGGATATGAAATGATAGAGTTTTTAGCTCTACAGGAGGCAGTATATGGTACATTGATACCATGCTATTTTTGTAATTCGACGCCTATTTGAAGAAAAATAAATTCAGTTAACTTTTGTACTTGATTTTTTTCTGCAATTTTGATGTTTATACGAGTAAACAATCTTATCAGAATGATATTTTTAGGTTGTACAACTTTAAATGCACTCCCTTCTTCTTGGTCCCTACACGAATCTCAAGAAAAATATTCAAAATTTGATAGTCACTAAAAAACACAGTTTCATATTTTTTTATTGGGGTCTTTAGTTCGGGTGAGTTTTTTAAAATAGTGAAACATTATTTAACGAGATTTTGATTTTGTAGGCCTTGAAATTGGACAAGCTTTGAGCTTAGAGCGTTTTTTCATAGTAATTTCGTTCATAAGTACAGTAGCGATTGGACTATCTGTTGCTGCTGTCTTTTCATGGGAAAAACAGTACTGACCACATTCAAATCGACTATATAATATTAGAAAAAGTTTCAACTTTTTATAATATTTAAGCAATAAATGAGTGAATTAATTGTGTTGTCACTTTCTTTTAAGTAAACTAATTTTTTATTTTTGGCTTTGTTTTTTTAGTGTGTTGTTATTGGTACTCTCATATACTGTCTTTATTTCTGTAAATATATCTATTTCTTAATTTATTATTCTTATTCTCACGCTGATGTACAGAAATTGGCTTGGTAACCATCATCAGGTTAATGTCGTAGTGCCGTCTGTTGTATCTGCGGATCAATATTCTTCGTCTTCATCAACTAGTCAACATCATCATCTACATCATTACCATCATCCACAGGAAACTTTGTCGCATCATCATCCTCAAACCAGACATAGTCATCATTCTCAACAACAATTATTGCAATTAGCTCAACTACAGCTTCATCAACAACAACAACAACAACAGCATAACAGTCAAATTAATAGTGCAAATAATAACCATATTATCACTGGTAAGCTTCTACCTATATTAGACATTAAAAAAAAATTCACATTTGGTACGTCTTTGTACACTAGTCGTCTCGGCTGAAGAAACAGATTAAGTTAACGTGATTATAACGTGATTATTTTCGAAGAGCAGATAGTAGAACATGTGCTCTACCCGTTAATTTTTGTATTTTATTTGCTATAATGGACATGAGTCTCGCAAATCATTTTATAGATCAGAGAAATCTGGCGGTTATCGTACACGTGCTTACTGAAGTGAATGAGGAATCGAAATGGCATCCTTTGCTGTTGCCAAAATATGTCGAAGCAAAGACTATTAGTTCTAATCCTGTATACTTTATACTCATAATCAAAAAGTTCTTTAAGTCAAAGGTAATGCAAACAAAATAGCGTTCTCTTGTCATAGGTAGATTATCAAGAAAAGGTAACTGAGTTGACTACCTTGCTCAGTAATTACAAGCTGGATCAAACTGAGCCTTTCACTCTTGAAGACATGATAAAGTAACAAAGAGTTTATGTTCTATCGGTTTAGGTTCTTCATCGAATTCTGATTTTCTTCGAGTTCAGAATCCAGCTGTACCAAATTCAACGAGTCTAAGTAAAAAACAACGTTTAGAACAATTGAATTTATTGACAACAGCTGCAGCGATGGCTGCTACCACTATACCCGCCTCCATTCTCAATGATACATCAAATATAGTTGGAGAATCATCACCTCTTCTTTCCACAAATATTGTAAATCATCGTACACAACCATCGAAAGTATTAAAACAACAGCAATCATCTTCGAAAAAGCAACAGCAACAATCGGATGATTTTGTCGATGACATCCAACAACAGCGAAACGATACTGGTGCTACTCAAGTACATGATTCATCGTCATCACAAATTTCTTCTACAACAACAGAAGACGATTCAACAGCACATCATCATCATTATCATCATCACCATCATCACCATCATTTGTTATTGACATCACCCGTGCCACCACAAGTACCAGAATTAATAGGTATGTATGCCTCTAAAGAGCAAGGCACTCTTATTTGGCACTTGTCTATGTAACTGTGACTAATTCTACTTACGTACAATTTATTTTTCCAATTTAGATTCGTCCAAAACTTCTTCAGCTCAAAGTTTGAAACGAAAACATGACGATTTAATTGATATGACAGTTAAACAACAGCAACAACAAGAGTTAGTCACTTCTTCATCATCAACTGCGTCGTCTGCATCACTGGCTATTGTTGGACAAACTACAACAACGAACACAAATAGAAATGGGATTCATTATGGAAGCGGAACGGGTGGAAATATTCAACCCGTTCAACAAGTTCATACAACCACACAAAAATACCAACAACAACAACAACAGCAATTGGCAGTTGTTACTATGCAAGAACAACAGGATCAAAAACAGCCGGTAGCACCCACAAACGACGGTCAGTAAAACAAACTTGGTTGTTTTGTTGTTTAATAAAGTTTTCTCTATCGATTGTAGGTGATTATCAGTTAGTTCAAAATGAAGTATTATACTCAATGACGAATTCATATGAAGTGCTAGAATTTCTTGGTCGTGGTACATTCGGTCAAGTTGTTAAATGTTGGAAAAAGGGCACCAATGAAGTAGTAGCTATTAAAATATTAAAAAATCATCCATCATATGCCAGACAAGGTCAAATTGAAGTGTCAATTTTATCACGTTTGGGTCAAGAAAATGCCGATGAATACAATTTAGTTCGTGCCTATGAAGTATTTACGCACAAAAATCATACATGTTTGGTATTTGAAATGTTAGAACAAAATTTATACGATTTTTTAAAACAAAATAAATTTTCACCATTACCATTAAAATGTATTCGTCCAATTGTACAACAAGTCTTAGTTGCTCTACATAAATTAAAACAATTAGGTTTAATTCATGCTGATACAAAACCGGAGAACATCATGTTATTGGATCCAATTCGTCAACCGTACAAAGTCAAAGTAATCGATTTTGGATCAGCTAGTCCAGTATCGAAAGCAATTACGTCAACATATTTACAATCAAGATATTACAGGTATTTGATCATATATGTCTCATAGCTTATACGATTTTTAAGTAAATCAGATTAGTTCACGTTATTTCGTTCTTTTAGAGCTGTTGAAATATTACTTGGATTACCATTTTGTGAAGCAATTGACATGTGGTCATTGGGTTGTGTAATCGCTGAATTGTTTTTAGGTTGGCCACTCTATCCGGGCTCATCTGAATACGATCAAGTAATTTTTCTTTATAATCAGATTTACTTCTCCCATAACTATGTTTTCTTTCTCTTCTTAGATTCGTTATATTTCTCAAACTCAAGGTTTACCACCACAATCAATGTTATCAAATGGAACAAAAACACCAAGATTCTTCAATCGGGATGAAAGAGAATCACCATATCCATTTTGGAGATTAAAGGTAACTATAAGAACATTTTTTTTCTTGTAATCAATAAAAAAAATAATTTATTTGTTGTATTTCAGACACCAGAAGAACATGAAGCTGAAACGGGTATTAAATCGAAGGAAGCAAGAAAATATATCTTCAATTGTCTTGATGATATGGCACAAGTATATTTTAAAAATTCTTGTCTTTTCAACTTTTTTTAATTTGATTTTCATTTAGATCAATGTTCCATCGGATTTAGAAGGTGTTGAATTGGTAGCTGAAAAATTAGATCGTCGTGAATTTGTAGATATTTTAAAACGAATGTTACATTTGGATCAAGAATATCGAATAACACCAGCTGAAGCTTTAAATCATCCGTTCGTAACTATGGCACATTTAGTCGATTTTGCACATTGTAACAAGTAAATTGAGTCTATTTAACTAGGTCATTATTAGCATACTCATCATTTTGTTTGTCAAATTTAGTGTTCGTCATAGTGTTCAAATGATGGAAGTCTGTAAACGTCCAAAACCACAGAGTGTTCCAGTAAATTTGGTATCAGATTTGAACAGTAGTTTTCTAAACAGTTTTAATGGACAAATGACATTTGCTTCCGCACAACAAATGGCATTACAACAACAACAGCAAGCAGTTCAGCAACAAGCACAACAGGCTCAACAATTACAAGCATTTCGAACAACACAAGTAAGTGTAAAGACTTATCAACTTTTATTCTCTTTATAAAATGTCATTTTAATATTTTCTAGGGACGTGCTGGTGATATTTATGTTTCATATCCAATTCAAGCTGCAGCTGCAGCTGCATCTTATATACCGAACATCACATTGACTCAACAACTTGCTCAAGCGCAAGCAGCTGCCGCGGCACATGCAGCCAGACAACAAATACCCGCACTATCGTTAATACCGCCATATCAGGGTATGCATATCTCATGATAAATATTTGAATATTATTAATTATCATTTTAATACATGTTTTTAGATCTTGGTTCTCCATTATTTGGTGCTCAAACAGCAGCTGCAATGTTATCAATTCCTACCCAGTTACCATTAGGTACTTTACAGCCAATTGGAATACCTGTTTCATTGCCAATGGTTCAAGCGGATCAAACCAGACATTTTTTTATTAATGTAAGTTTCATACAGATCAACTACAAATTACAAATCCGATTATCGAAGGAGAGAAAATTAATTTTGTGAAATATTTTCATTTTGTTTGTGATGAATCAGTTGTTTTTATTTTCTAAAATGAGTTAGTTGAGTACATATCAAAACACAAAATTAAACTATATTTTTAAATTATTTTCATTCTTGATCTTTAACACTCTAACGTTATGATGATGAGATTATTCCTGTTAAAGTTATAAGAGAGATTTATATGATGATAAATTTCTTTACATTTGACTACTCAATATATTCTTTATTTTATTTGTTTTAGAATAATACTGCTGCTGCTTGGGGACAAACAAATCAATTTCTGCTTCCACCTACATTTGCTGCTGCAGCAGCCGCTGCCGCCGCTGCTCGACGAAATAGTGTATTATTGCAAGATGCTGATCAATTATGGCGTACGCCATTAATGGCATTTGATCCAAATATTGATCCTACTCAGCAACAACAACAATCAACGACGAATAAAGTATCAGCTGCCGCCACTTTATATCCATTAGAACTAAATGATTCAAGAATGTTTGCTCGTATAAATCATCAGCATCAACCAACATCATCAACAAGTTCTTCTAATAATTCTAACAATCGCTGTCAAAGGTAATATTTTTGTGTTATTTGTGTTTGGTGTGTTTACTTTTTTCCATATTTCTGTGATATTTTTACTTATGAGTCGGTATGTTTTTATAACTGTATGCTTTTGATTTTTGTTTTTTAACTTTTTAGTTTATTTTTTCATTGATTCTAATGTTGTTTTTCATGTATTAGGCATAATGTTTTGGTTTTCCGAGAATACGTTTTTTTTTTTTTGCTTCTTCTAAGGATCAATCAAATATAAGCCCTAGGCTTGACGATAGTTTGCTACAATGGTTTTGTACAAACTTACTTTTTTCTGATTGAAAAATGTAAGTTTGTTATGCTATATTTTTAGTCGTTTTCTCGTTTTCTGCTCGAAATCCTTCAGACTAATTTTAACATATTTTTTGCGGTGAACAGTTTTTAGCATAAGCGAAAATATATTAGTTAGAAAAGATGACTTGAAGTTTAAATAGTACAGATTTGCTACTTTTTATTTCCAGTATTTGCATATTTTATGTAAATTTCTCAACTGCAAATTCTACATCGTTTTTACTTGTGATGCTTTATATTTATTAGAAAACAAAACAAATAATCGTATTGATAAATTAAAAAAAAAAAAAAAAAGTAGAAAAAAGTACTAGTCCTATGTTAAAATGACCATACGTCGTCAAATAATATGAGTTACACAATCTTATCTATAAATGTTATATTTTATACATTGCGTATTTCGTTTTTCGAAACAATTCTTTTCATGTGTAGGTCGTATATGTTCACGTTTTTAAGATAAATATCTTTCCCTTGTTATCCTATACAACCTCCTGCTAGTGTATGTATATTGATGGTAAGAGATGATTGCACACACAGCTAAAATAATAACAATAAAAATGTTTATTTTTAATCATTTTTTGTTAATACTATATCTTCTTCCTCTCTTTAACTATAGTTTTTTTTTATTCAATTAGTATTTGCGGGTTTTTTTTCTCTAATATTCCAGGTATGTTCCAAAAGATGTGAATATAAACAATAATAATAATAGCAGCAATAATCGACGATATAATACTAGCAATGAACAAAATAAAATAAATGATAATATCAAGCTACTTAATCAGTTAAATGCTCATCAGCAACAGCATTGTATTCAACAATCTTATCCAGTTCAACAAGCCCAGCAGCAACAGTATGTTGGAACAACAACGTCAACTTCGTCCTGTGGATCGTCTAGTTCTTCTTCCGTTACTTCAATGCCGCCACTACCACAAGATAGTCCACAAAGACCTGTTTCAATCATCACATTATCATCTGATTCGGATGATGAAAAAGATATAAAACCAACACATCAAAGGTAAATTTTAATTTTCCTAGAATCCTTTTGAGAACAAATGATGCGTACAGTATCAAAGTTGACTTACGACGTATTACTCTGTGTTACTTTACCATGTAAAAAATGAGACAGTTCTCACTAGTTCTCGTAATTTTTTATTGATCTTGTCTATAAAACATTCTAAGAAAGTTTACAAATTACTACAAGTAGAAGAAAAAAAATGTTCGCTTTGTACAACTTCAAAGGTACGTACTCATTTCAAAGAAAATCCTTCTGACTAAAACGGTCTTTTTTCACAATACGAAATAAGAAGAAGTCTGATTTTAACTCTTTGCTTGAATCGTCAAAAAATCTATCAGTTGCAAATATCCAACTGGTTGGAACCATTTATTCTTCATTAAAAAGAAGATCACTTTGTTCAAGTTTTGATGTGTTCTATATGATACAGATACATAAACATTTTTTATCACTTTAATAATTAAGGATCAAGCCATTGAGAAGAGTTATACAATATTTAATTGAAACTAAACATTTTATTTAAAATCTTTAAAACGCTTCTAAAATGATAAATATCAGTTTGTTTTTTAAAAAACTTTTTGTTTCGTTGTTACTTTACCAAAACGTACCAAATATTTGTTATTTTATACAGCGACATAGCCAGGATTCCAGTAAGGGGTGGACCAAATTTTTTTTCGGCCAATAAAAACAGTAAAAAGATTCTTATGTAGCATTTTTATTTTTGATTTCAATCAAAATATTTTTTTCTACTGTGAAATGAAGAAAAAATGAAATTTCTAAGATGTGAGCCATGACCCACCCTTGGCTAAGTGCTGGCTACGTTGCTGATTTTATAACAAGTAAAAAAAGTGTTACTTGTAGCAAGAATGATAATGAGGCTGTATTTTGTTTATTTCATAGTCTTATTTTCTTTTAGAACAATTGTCAACGCTTCATCAGCTATTTCTAATCCGTCTTCAAAACATAAACATCTTCAACAAGTGCCCGTTAATGATCATAAATCGCATGATAATAAGCAACAAATTAAAAAAGAAAGACTTAGTATTGATACAACAAACAATATTATACAACAGGTAATATATAAGCATAAAAAGTCACATTAATATTGAACATTTTCTTTTGTTTAGTATCAAATTCAAACTGGTCTTCTACTAAATTCATCTTCAAATCCAAAATCTGAAGCAACATTTTACGGTAAGTTATTTATAGCCTTATAGAACATTAATTTGTTTTTGATCTGATCGGTGACAGGGTCCTTATAATACATAGAAAAACAGTCTCTGCTGCACGATTATGACTTTTTTTTAATTTTTAATTCTCCTAGTCTTGATATTTTCTGCTTAATTGATTGTTTTATTATTTTTTTTTTTCTCTATTTTCTTTGGTATGTGTATAGACTATCAGCAGCATCAGCACGATTGTCGACAACAAGCTCTTCTTGGCTCGCTTGTTTATAACGATCCAAGGTATAATGATTATTTCTTTCATAAATATAGTTTTATTATGTAGAAGAACATCGCTTAATAATATTATATGTAACGATTAGACAGAGAGAGCATGTGTGTGTGTGTATATGTGAGTTTGGACTATACATTTGTTTATTAACTTTTCTACATTTTTAGACACATGAGTTTATTTTTATCACCGAATAGTTTTGTAACAACGACTAATCCTCATGTTCATCATCCGTCTGCACATCAATTGTATTCATCAATGAGTCCAACAACGGCCGCTGCTGCTTTAACCGCAGCTGCCGCTCAAACAAATAGACATCATCATCGACGTTTATATTAATTATTTATATTTCGTTTTCTTTTCTTTTTGTACATAATTATCTTTGAATGTGTATGTGCTTCTGCTTAATCTGAATAATGTATTCTCTGAAACAAAACAAATAGTACAACTTTGAAAATTTATGGCTTTTCTTGTTTGTTGTTTGTTATAGGTGTTTCTTTTTCTTTATATTTTAAAATCAAGCAGCATGTGTGCGTGTGTAATACACTTATTCTTTCGTTTTCTTTTGCCAATACAGCAGAATCCTATGTTATTTTCAATTCGACAGACAAACTTTTTTTCATTGTGCATGGAGTATATTTACACGGCACATGTCAAAAGCGGAGCTTGTTAAAGGCTTTTAAATATACCGTTTTTTTCTTTTTTCTTTTTTGTTTATGGAGTTTGATCTACTAATTCTTTTCTTTTTCGTCTTCAATGTAAATAGATGTGATGCTATTTTTATTCGTTTGTTTGTTGCACGTACTCGCTCACTTATACTCTTTCTTGATTGCTTTTTCTCTCGGTTTCTTCTTTGGAAAAAAGTTTTTTTTTTACTCTCTTTGTTTATGTAAGAGAAGTTTAAAAACGTGAAGAAGAAATCTTTAAAAATTGGTTTTTAGAAACAGTTTCTCTCTCTCTCTCTCTTTTTTCTTAGGTAAACACTTTGCATTTTGTTTGTTTGTGTCTTTCATTCCTTTTCTTTTGTTGTTTGTTGTACATTTTACTATACAATAGAGCGCAATGTGTTTTTGTGTATGTAAATAGTCGATTTTTTGTTCTTCTTCTAGTTGTATGGGCATGGTTTGCTTTTTTTTTCTTAATATGATGATTTAATTGTAGTATGTTCTCTTTTTTTGTGTGTGAAAAGAATCTATGCGTTTACTTAAGTGTCTATCCAATTTTTATCAACGCTAGCGAATTTAATTATTTATTCATTCATATATATATCTATATATATATGTATGCTTATATCCAATAATAAAAATAAAATATAGACAACCAGTTTGAATTGATAACTTTGCACTCAAGTTTTCTATGAAAAATGCAAATAAGAGTGAACTGAAGCGTATCTTTTTTCAACTGAGATACATTTTTAATTAGGTAGTATCTCAGTTAGGAGATGGGAATGGAATAGTGTGAATTTGTAAACTCTGCCTTCATTTCTTAACTAAGATTCAATTTCTATAAGAATAGTGTACATGTATTGTTTGTATATGTCTGAAAAGCATCTGTTTGTACATCATATTATAATCAAACAGTATTGCATCGAAGTCTGTTGAAATATTTTCATAGATTTTGTTTGTAAAATAACTTAAAGCGGTGCATCAACAATATCATATAAAGAAAAAATACGAAAACAGTTCGCTGATCTTGTGAGTTTACGAGATGAATTAATTCAATTCCGAGAGCTGAGCAAGTCACAAGTCAAGTCAAGTCAGACTTGACTTGCCCAAATCTGATAATTTCACAATAGTTTCTTCCCTTCCACCATCATTCTTATAGAAATTGTATCTCAGTTAGGAACAGAGTGCCCAATTCTCCTGATGAAAATTCTCCTGATTTCAGGAGCTGATTTTTAAGATTTTTTCCTGATTTTCAATTGTTTTTTTGCATCAACTTTGTTTTTTCCACAACTGAGATTATCAGTTTCAGAAACAGACTTTCTGAATCAAGAGTCTAAATAATTGTACACTGAAAGAGTCCGCTGTGTGTGCTTATCGAATGTTCTCATCACAAGAAGACGAGATTAGCGCACTTCCGAACCCATCGGATCAAAATCTTCTTCCTCAATCCGTACTGTAGCCTGTAACAAATGATAATACTGTTTCATAAAAAAATATTTGAATAAAAAAAAGTTTTTTTGATAAAAACTATATTTTTTAAAAAGTTATTGGATTTCTTTTGTTTTGCTTGTCCAAGAAACAACTGCCTGATACTCTTCTGTTTTTCTCCTGATTTTGAAAAAAAATCTCCTGATCTACTCTTGATTTTTACGAAAAACTCCTAATTCGAAAAACTGGATTTGGGCACTCTGGTTAGGAAACGTAGTTTTCTTCATAGTTTTTCATTTCCTAACTGAGATACCTAATTAAAAAAGTATCACAGTTGACATGTATGTAGTCGAACTGAAGCCCAAAAATGGATATTACAAGTAGTTCGATAAGGAGAAAAGTATATAACTTCTGTTTCAGTATCTTCCCTTTCTTATGTGGATAGTCAAAAAATAATGTAATGTGGTCCTTAGGCGCGATTTTAATCTTTGTACTGTTCTTCTCTTTCTTACTAAATAAAGTTTATATCAACTTCTGTTTTTGTGAATTATGAGCAATAAATTTTGTGTCCTTATTGTTCACAAGTACTAGACTTTCAAAATGATCTAATGTTTGTAAGAAGAATATTTGAAGTCCTCGATAAATGCATTGTATATGGTAAGTAGCCAAAGGTGAATAGTGAAATAATTTTTAAATTTTTAAAATTCTACGAAATAACGAGTAGTAAGATATAAAAAATACATTCACATAGTGGCGGAGCCACCGGGAGAGTTGAGCTCCTTCTAGAAACATTCAAGCTAGGAAATTTTAATCTTTTAATTTAAATTTAAATTTTTTATCTTGTAGTACTGTAAGCAGGTTTTGGACAATGAATATAGAGCTCAGCTCCCATTAGACCGAAATTCTGTCTCCGCCACTACATTCATATATAGATTTTCGCAAACAAATCTGATGAGCTCAGTGATCAACCTATGCAAAGAGCGTTTTACGTGATTAATGCTATTTCGATAACTCAAATTGTGCAATTGCTTATTAAGGGGATCCGTCTCCTTCAGGAAAAAACTTTTTTATCTTACATCCGATTTCGATGGCGTTTTACGTGATTAATGCTTACTGTTCTACGAGCTTATACTAAGAATTTGAAATCGAAACGTTGAAGCGATGCCGAGTTATTGCATGACAAGGAGTAAAATAGGCCTCTTAGCAAAAGCGTTATAACTATTTTGTTAGAAGGTACAGAAAGCTGTGAAAGGCCTCAAATGAAAGTAGACACCTAAATATAAAATTTAATCCGCGGTGATTTTTGAATTTCGCTTCTGTTCATTCCCTATACGTATTTTAAGTCACACCTCTGAAAATAACCCTAATTCGGGGGCATATTTGCCACTTATCTCTGCACAGAAAACAAAAATCAAAAATCACCGCGGATTAAAGTTTAGATAAATGTCTTAGCTTCAAAATAAAAAAAGAATGAAGGTCTTACGATGAATCGTCTAGGAGTTATTACAATTTTACTGCGTCAAAACCGTATTCTAAGCAATGACGTCATTACTTCATTAATTATAGTTCAGCGCCTTTAGCAAAACTAGTATAACTCTGCAAGACAAAGTCGTACAAAGCTGTTAGATGTCTCATTCTGATCAGAACACTCTGTTCAACATAGTTCCATGTCCGTTAAAATGGACAGCCTTAGAAAATTTTAATTAAAACGTGAAATTTAGAAAAAGGTGATTTTAGGGCTTTCAGAATCCTCCAAAAACATTGAATTTTTCGCAAACTGAGATGGATTCTGAAAGATGATACATTGAGATACTGAACTGTATGGTTACTTCAGTTTCGAAGAAAACATCGAATTCCTGGGGGGGGGCCTTAATGAGGCGATTATCATGCTGTACAAATTTTTATTTTCTCGAAATATAAAGTCTGTATTGCAGTCTCACGTGTACGTATCTTAATTTCATTTGTTCGAGTTCTTCGTGGAATGGCTACATGGGAGCAATGAGAAACATCGACCTTTTATTAATTTTTCTTGGCTATGGCTTTCTAGACTTTCTAGTTTATCGAATACCAACGCCATCTATCTTCTGTGATGTCTAAAATATATAAACGAGATTCGTCAGTTGATATGGTTAAGATTTAAATTCGAGCTAAACAGAAACAACACTGTTTAACGCAAACTGCTGAACTGATTTTTATTTTTCATTTGATGTAGGACTCGTTCAATCAATTATGAAGTAGGAAGAAGAATGAAAAATAACTTGGCTATTTATTTCTTTTCATTACATTGTGTACGCAAGGTTATTTTAATATTTTTCGTTCTTTTTTTATTAGTACTTGTGAACTTATTTTTGTTATTTTAGTTGAGTGGGAGTTTGTCTTAATATAAAGATAATGAAAAAATTTTTTGTCTTATCCTTTATTTAGATAAAGTGGACGAATAAAACTGCATGTATCAACAAGTATTAGCATCAGCAGAAACAATAAAGAAAATGACTTCAAAATCAAAAGAGTATAAAAGTGAAGTAAGTCCGTTTAGTCTATAGCTTTGTTATCGAATCTAACCATTAGTGGCGTAGCCACCGGATGGGTTAGGGTGGTCTCAGCCCACTCACTAAAAGTTTTATAATTCATCCTACTCTGCGCTAATGTCTACCACTTTGAAAAAATTTGGGGCAACGCCTACCCACTTACAAAATCCTGGCTACGCCACTTCCAACCATAATATGAGGTGTTTAAAATTGCTACTGGTACAGATAGAGAAAACCGGTCTTGAGTGTTAAGTCTGTGAAACAACAATTCTAAAGGTTTAACACCAATGATCCACTTTGGCATTCTGTAGCACCCCCTCCTCCCTCCTGGAATTATTCTCGCTTTCCATATAAAAGACTAACTCATCTTTCGCATCAAAATGGAGTGTATTTTCTAGAACGTTAACTTGTAGTTCTATGTAGATGCCAAAAAAAGTAACATATTCAAGTTGCTTGGCAAAACTGTTTGATATCGGAGAAATTTCACATCTGATATCATATGAATTTCTCCTTTACATACAATTTCTTAAAATTTAAAAATGTATCCCCTCAAAATTTTGTTTTTGAGACAATTTGCCTCAAAGGTACTATAGGATGGAAGTCCCTGTAAAAAATTTATTATCTCTCTTCTTAATCCTTCCTTTCGCGATGATATTTTTCAATAGTTTATGTCTTTTCACGTATAAATCATATAGAAATAAATTTTACATCAGTTCAAACCCTATTTGGTGTATATTTCAGATTAATAACCAAACATTGGTTATAAAAACGTTTTTTTTTCAACATTCTAACAAGTATACAGGATACACGTCACAAAAAACGTATAGAAAAAAATATGAAGCGTCAGTTGAATTGAAGAGTTTGTTGTATCGGCTGATCGTCAGACTTTTCGGAAGATATTCATAAAAGACACCTTTTTCACGTGTTCTATTTTTAAACATAAAACGGAAAATATACATCATTTGAATAAACTAAAATTTTGCATTTGAATATAAGATTTAAATAGGACCTTGTTTGAATACGATACATATGTTCCGAATCTCAGAACGATGAAAATGATCAACATATCATTGATGAAAGGAGATTTTAGCAGTTTGACAAATATGACACATTTTATTTAAACTATTTTTAGATATATTAGGGATCCTTTAATTGAGATGTCTAGGTGAATTTTGTTTTCGAACCTTTGGCCATGGAAAAGAGTGGATTAAAGTGTTATTCAACACATTAAACATTTTGCTCATATTTTCATTTCGAATAGAGGGTTTTTGTTGTTGTTTTTTGGACAACTTCATTACTAAACCATGAGAAATTGATAATTTCTGACTACTTTCATACGAATTATAATTCATTTCTAGACTGACATGGCTATCCATACGAAATTTCAATTATTACGGCAAGAGATTGATATGAGAGAACAGGAAATTTTAAACTTCATTGAAAAACATTATAGTGAAAATAATAGTACGCCAAGTGTTAATTTTTTAACGTCCTTTAATAATCAAATGCAGTTAATATATCATGCTGTACGAAAATTATCATGTAAAACAACACAATCGGAAGATGATTACACTTTTGTGCAATCGTGTGATTATATGATTGTTGGCGATACATCATCATCATCATCATCCTCATCCTCTTCTTCTTCATCGAGCAGTAGTAGTTCATCAAGTAGTGAAAAAATGAAATCAAAAAACAAAAAGCCATCGTCAGTGTACAATAAAATGAAGCAATTTGAACAACGTTTAACTCAAATTGAACAACAAATGAAACCAAAATCGACAGACATAGAGAATAAAGAAAAATGTAAGTTTTATTTAGAAAATTTTTTCTACTACTACCAATAGTTCAATGTCGGTTCTAATCGACATAATAGGTTCGGGATTTTAACATGTCTATACAATATTAAAGCATCATGTCATCTATTATTATCTTGGGTATTGTGTATGGGCTAGTTAAGAGAAAATTTACTCATTTTCATAGAGTTGAAGCGTTTTATATAGTTATTGTTTGATTTTAGGTAAAAATACTAATTCGTCAAAACTTCACCAACAATCTGGTATCGAATTAATTCGTTCTAAACCAATGACTGTCTGGGTTAAAAAATCTCTGAATAATTTATTACCAATAACTAAGAATAATATTTGTCATCAAGAAAGTTTTCATGGTGTTAAATATTTATTAGCTTTACCTCTAACTGCATTTTTATCTCGTACAAAAACAGAAACAACGACTACAATTGAGAAAGAATTAAAAAATTTAAGAATAATCAGTTATAATACGTCAAAGGAAGCACCACAACAGTTAAAATGGATTAAAAATGAAAAATTTGAATTGTTGAATAATGATATTAATTTAATACCTGAATGCGAGCGGTATGTAAATAGATTTTAGTTAAATTGCCGTGAATATTACATGGCATCCATCATACAGAAACTTATTTAGGGCTCGTGCACGTAAAAGTCCGCAATAGTTTGTGAAATTCATAGCTCTTCAGCCGAGCAACGTACAGAGTTGGAGAACGTCTCATTTTGTAACTTAAAGATTTTTCTTCCAGAAAGTAATTAAGCAAAATCTAGTAGCCGACTAGTTTAAGTGACATAATACGCCACTTTCGTACAAAAGGACTTTATTGGCATGAATTATGGGCAGGTGTTTAGGAGGTTAGAGCTAGACTTTCCCTAATTACCATTTGAAAGAAAAATCTTCACGCTTCAAAATAAGATATTCTTTAACTCTGTACATTGCTCGGCTGAAGAGCTATGAATTTCATAAAATGTTACGGACTTACATTTTTTTGGCTGGTACGCTTGGACAGGCCGTTTGGTGTAGGTGAAACACATGTGAATCACACAAAATTCACGTATATATCTGGGTTATCGGTTTAACACCATTTACTTCAGTTTGGTCGGCAAGGAGTGTGAGAATATTGAACTATACTATACTATCAATTTTGCTGTCGATCTTCAGCAACAATTTTCCCTTAAGATATATTGATGATATTGATCTTACGAACCTTCTTAACAAGATTTTTTGTATACAACTGTATTCATACTCTTACCATCTTTCGTCTTTTAACCAAACTTCAAACTTTTCAGACCTTGAAAATGTCTTGTGTAACAAAATTATTTTCTTTTTTTTATGATCTTACGAGAGAAAAATATTCGACTAAGAAAGATATTCCTCTAGATAAGCCTATTTATTACAGTTACCAAGAATGGATCATAGAAGGATGAGAGAATGAACAGATTGAACTGATGAAAACCAGAAAGAGTAACTAGCGTTACAAACAACTCCCTACTACCTTATTATCTTGCGGCAAAATCGATGTTAGTGTATAGTTCTATATGCTGATACCTTTGTCTCTGGCTAATCATTTCTCTTATTTTTAAATTATCGTTCGAGGTTATTTACGAAGTATTAAACAATTTATATAGATCAACGAAATTTGTTATTCTCTTGAGAAAAAAGTAGAAAAATTAAGGGACCCTCAGAAATGGTGATTTTCGGTCAAAAATCGGTGTTGAGATACCCACATGGAAAGATAGCCTGAAGTGTCTACTTTCAGAATCTGTATCGCTTTACAAAAGTGGTTTTGGGCAGATTTTTATCAGGTTTTATAGGAGCCTCGAAAAACCGGGTCTTCAAATAATAGTTTTTTCCTGGATACTTATGCAATTAAAATTTTTTTGAACACACAGATTTGTGGAGCAAACTTTTCTGGTCAAAATAAGACTTTTCATCAAAAAGTTATAGGCATTTCCTACAAATCCTAAAATTGAGTATTTTATACAGCGTTTTCTCTATATAAAAGTTACACCTGAAGTATTATTTCCCAAGATTTTTAATAGTGGTTTGTCTTAAAGAGTTTATTTTTCTTTTGTTTAAAAGAGCAAAAGAAACTACATGGGCTGACCGGCATCGATTTTTGAATTAGGTCTTTTTTGTCAAATTAAGGATTTTTCGGGTTTTGCATGTAGTTGGTTGCCTGGAAAATCAACAAAGACTGAATTGAAAAATCGGCGCCGGTCAGTCCATGTAGTTAGGTACCTAGTTTAAAACAAAACAAACCCGAACTCTCCAATTTGAAGTATATTGAAAAATCTTAGGAAAAACTTCAGGGACCTTTCTGGACCTTGATCTCTCGAAAACTTCTAAACCGTAAGACTTGGAGACAAAAACATTTTTTGCATTCCCGTAACTCATTAAACTTACCATTTATGGAAAGTTTGATCAAGATCGAATTGTCGGAGATAATTTCTGAGGGGGGGGGACGTAGTTAGTCCGCCCTATATACTATAATTTGTTAAAATAACTTACAGATTTAATCACACACACTCTTGAATTGAGTTCGTCTACCACGATCACGTATAGTCGTTTTTTTTCCATAAGGTTAGTCTAGTTGTCTTTCTGTTACTTGTAGTCGAAAATGGTTATGTTCTAACAATGGTAGTCAAGTATGTTCAACATCTAAACCTTCTACAATATTAACATCTACGAACATTTATTCAAAAGATCATTGGATTAATGGAAATAAACAAAAAGAACAACATCAAAATTTATTTCGTCCATGGTTATCAACCGATACACAAAAGTTATCAACAACCGTCGATTTAGATGAACATCTTCAACAATGTACCGAACGTGTTAAAAAATTACATAATGAATATTTAACAACCGTTGAAAAAACGACGCAATCTCCAATAGCACGAAATGACACTCCTTCAGAATATCCTCAACTAACTCAAATAGCTTCTCTAAAATATCCAGCACCAACAATAGTATCTGCATTCACAAAATATTCTCCGCTACCATCTACCTTAGCAACAGCAACGAGAGAAAAATATAGTTCAATATTAAATACAATAGATACAATGAGACATATGCCGCTTGATCAATGGGTTTCGAAAAAATAAAAGAACAGACATTTCTCTTGTGCATACTAGCCAATAGGCTATCAAGAAACCTATCTTTCTCCTAATAATTGAGTTTAGATCATCCCATATATAGTAAACGTTGCCGTATGTTTTTTTCTGAACAGTTTTATATAGAATGTTTGCTATACTTATCCTTAGTAGACCTCTCATGCTCAAGTTTTATGAAGAGAAGACTAGATTTTTTTCTACTGAATTCGACTCAAAGCCTAGAAAATATTAGAATATGAACTTTTATGTTCTTGAGAGTAATTCGTTATTGGCTCGATTAAATATATTTTTTTACGTATTGATGTTATTTTTTTCTCGCTTTTCTCAGAATAATAATATTTTTCAATGAAAGTTTTTTTTAAGCAAGTGCTTCTAGCTCATATGATACTAAAAATATTTATCGTTGAAAAAAAATTGCTTGCTGAAATGTAATGTTATTTTAAAAAAATAGATTCAAATGTCAGTTTTGTGCCCTCTGAAAAATAATCGAAAATACTACAGAAATAAACGTGAAAAAAGTGTCACATTTTTGAAATTTTAACAAAATTTGAGCTATTTTATTGATGTACTAGTAAACTAGAAAGTATATCATATTTTAGAGAGAATGTTTTCTTCCAACTGGTTATGCATTTCAAATTCTTTCACGTTCATATTCATAGTGTTTTAATTATTTTTTCAAAGAAAGCGAGAGAACATAGTCGTTACTTCGTTCAGATTGTTATCATATAAAGTGTAGTTTCACAGGTTATTTTTTCTATTGTATCGTTGTATAATCTTCACTCTTTTTTTCTCTTTTTTGTAATGATGAGTAGCATGTGCTTCTATCTTGGTCGAATACCCAAATCAATTTGAATAATAGTTCCATCCAATTGTGCTCTCCATTTATTCTTTCATTGAACATATGGTCAAGATGATGCGTAAGCTGTCGTAATCTCGCATTTAGCTGCCTCTTTTAGCTTTCTTTAAACGACTCATACCTTTTCATACTTTATTTCATACCATCGATCTTGAAATTTATTAATCAAATTGTAGTCGTTTCAAAAAGTGATCTAAATCAGATACTGGTCAAAGTAAGACATTCCTATTCTAAATTGTCGTCAGTGCTCAATTCAATACGATCATGGGGATACGATTGTCTCATTTCATCGCAAGTTTAACAATAAAACTAAACATGTAAAACAGAAATCTTTTACGCTGCTTTTTCTACGTTGAAATTACTAAATAATTCCGATGATCATTTGGGTAATATTGGTACTGACTAAAGTCTTTTGTTAAAAGAGATGCATTGTTAAACATTACAAGTATTTAATAAGTTATCGCATTCTCACATTCAACCGTATCTTTTTCTTTCTCTGAATTTACATTTTTATATACGTTGATTTTTCTGTTGAAATTATCTTGAAATGTACTGACAGTTTAATTTTTGTTATTCCACTAGTTGGCTTAAAAAGGTACTACAAGTGAGATTCAATTATTTTAAATTGTTGACGATGTTGCATTTGAGCACGACGATAATGAAAAATAGGATATAGAAGAAAAGTATTTTTGTCAAATGATAATTATTCTGATGTATTAACACTATACATGACAGTTTTATACAAATACATTCTAAGGCAAATGTATGTAGCAAATCTAGGGTAACTGAAGTCGCACGTACTTTCAGACCAAAATTTTCTTTTTTTCCTGGCAAAGTATTCTCAGAAATCGTTTGAGTCAACCAAAAATTCTGGATTCACATTTGTTTCTAAATTGCTTCTTATACGTATCAATAGATACAGAATTTCAAACTTTAAAAGATGTCGTTCTTTCCATGCATACACTCGTTTTGATAGCATTAATAATACTTTAACTGAAGAGAAAACATGTCAAAAACTGGTAAAACGACATATTTTGTATATGATAACTATGACGATAGAACTTAGCTGTTAGACTCTGTGATTAAAAATCAAAATTTTTAGTATTAATAACGTGCTTGAATTGCCAAATAAAACGATCCATTAGCTAGAAATCACATATCAGAGTAGTGAGCAGCTGATATACTTTTGTTCATTGCAGTGATTTTAACGCTTTAAAAAACGGCAAATTGATTTGAATATATGAATAAATGTATATAAAATTTTCTGTTTATTAGCATTAAAATGGAATTCTCGAGTCAAACTCAATTTGAAAAAAGTGTAGGCATGACCTTTGTCTGGGTTACCTTTGAAAAATCTCTTGAAAATAAGTACAATTTAAAGAGTATGCATTATTTAATTAAGTAAAGGTAGAAACGTTGACCAAAATATGTCTCCCGACTCCATCTGGTGTATTATATCAACATAAAAGATTTCCCTCTTACAATATACCGCGTTTTATTTTTTGTGATTATAGTCTATACGGATATACTGTCAAAGAGAAAATGAACATTTCGTCATGCTTGGTTGACTCGCATGAGAGACTTATGATTTATGTGCAATATTTAGCATTCTAGAGAAATGACTTCGCAAGCAAATACAGATATTGCTCACCGTTGGTTTGAAGCATTTAATAGTCATGATCTAGAGAAACTATTGTCGCTCTACGATGAAGATGCTAAACATTATAGTCCGAAGCTAAAAATACGTCAGCCTGAAACACATGGTTTGATACAAGGAAAAACTGCATTGCGCACTTGGTGGAAAGATGCTTTCGATCGATTACCTTCACTGCAATATGAATGTACATCACTTACACCTAACGATAAACGTATATTTATGGAATATACACGTCATGTGTCAAATGAACCCGATATGCTTGTAGCAGAAGTGTTGGAAATAAACAAAGTCGGTTTTATTACGGCATCTCGCGTTTATCATGGATAATAATGTTGTTCATGTGTGTATAAATTAAGAACTTTTTGCAGGCTTTTAATGATGGTTTCTGTGACATGTGCTCGTTTTAGCATACGTCAAAGTCAATATTTTAAAGAAAAATATTATTGAAATTTGAAACACTATCAAGTAAAAGATTAATCTTAGAGTTTGGCGCTAGATATTTTTGTCCTCACATGTTGAGACGTTATTACTATGAGAAGATTTAGAATTTCTATACTCTCTGTGGGTTTTTTATATTAAGACTCAAACTCTGTGTTATTGATCTCCAAAGTTTTGGCACTGTGATAAGAGAAAGATAAGACAAGTTACTTGTTCGTTACAATCGTTAAGTCCCCGTCAGAAACACAAATTTTTATAAAAAGTCAATATTGAGCTAAATACATCATCAGACAGCCCACGGTGTCTACTATCAGGATTTATAGCTATCAAGATCGAATATTCTTGTTGCTGCATGATAGAGTGGCATATCCTCTACAAAATAAGATTACTCCTAGCTCTCTACTACCTTCTACTGGAGAGAAACGAATTTTTTAAAGTTTGCCAAAACCAAGGTTTTAAATAGGTTTTTGAGTATTTTCGCTATAACAAAGTACTAAATTTCAAACAAAATTTTTAACTCTTAAATACCCAACAAGCCATGAGTGATAACATTTTTAGTCTAATCGGTTGAAATTTTGTGAGGGGCACAAGCGACAAGATTAAAAAAAGAGATCTCTGTAAAACTGTTGAACAGACATAGCTCGCAATGGTTCCAGAAAATACGCAAAAACAAGTTTTCCATAGGTTCTAAAGATTGCTAATGAACCTGGAGAAGTAGTAAAATTTTCCCCGAACGCCAAAAATGAGGGAAGGAGTACCCTTAGTGAAAGTCGGTTTGCAAACAGTACTATAAAATTCATCACAACAGAATTTTCTTTGTTAACTTTATTAGAGAAATGTGATTGAACGGTGTATAATATCCTGCGTTCATTCTTTTGCAGTCTTTGTGTATTGTTCAAAGGGCATGACATGTTTATGTGTGATTATTACCGGCTTTTTAATCAATGCTAAGTTTAAAATATTCCTCAGTTTAATCAACGTTGTTACACGAAACTTAACCGCTCGATCAATTGAATAAAGGGAAAGAAAATCGAACTTGTGTCATGCATCTTTTTGTTAAGTTTTAATCGGAGGTTCTGACATCTTAATCGAGTCCGACTACTCTTAAAAATTTTACGGTTCAAATCGGGACCTTTTTTAAAAATTCCTACTTCTATAATGTCTCCACTGGCTAACTGGTGTAAATGCATGTTCTAACACTAATAACAGACTAAATGTTAAGACTCTTTTCTATCACTTCTTATTTATAAAGAAATTTCCTTTATATGGCAAACAGTAGAGAATTTAATTCTTTACAAGATTGTATATTCATTTTTAAGATTCATCTCTGATGTTGGGCACAGTAACTCTAACAAGAAAAGCTCCAAATTTGTTTAACTGTACTTTCAAAAGATCGATTTATTGCGCAAAACCTCGCTAAAAATCACTTATTCAACAAAAAAAGGTATAGGTAAAAATTCAGCAACGAAATGTTTCCAAAGTAATGATTTTTTAGATGAAATCAGAGCGAGAAAGAGTCTTTGAAAAAGTCTTTTTCTCTTATTTTTGCGCCCAGCTTAGCGACATCTAGTATTTCCTACCTTTCAGGTAAAAAAGTAGCCATTTTATTTTGTATGTTGCACAGTCTAATAGAGCGCGAAATTCTACATTTTTAGATCTATAAGTTAATGATTTGAACTTTAAATTTTATACCGAAATAGTCGAAAAGCTTTTTTAGTACAAACTGCTCGTATTTTTTTAATTGTTTATAATTAGTATAAAATAATTTTATTAGCGCCAAATGATGCAGAATTTCATAGTTTACAAAATAGTTTACTTGAAGTTAATTGATTTCAATTGCTAATAACTTTAATAGATAAACTTTCATGTTCATAGAAGTTTCTAGCACTAAAAAAACTTTTTGTCTATTCCAGTATAAAATTTAAAGTTCAAATCATTAATTTATAGACCAAAAAATGCAGAATTTCGCGCTCTATTAGACTATGTAACTTACAATAAATTATAAAAATGGCTAGTTTTTTACCTGAAAAGTAGGAAATACCAGTGTCGCTAAAGAAATGACTTTTTTCAAAGACTCTTTTTCGCTCGGATTTCATCTAAAAAATCATTACTTTGGAAACATTTCGTTGCTGAATTTTTACCTATACCTTTTTTTGTTGAATAAGTGATTTTTAGCGAGGTTTTGCGCA